CCATCCATAACATGGAAGATCACTTTAAATTTCTAATATCCAATTTAAATTCCGATTTAAATATATAATCGCCTTGGATAATACATTTTTCTCGAGCGGATCGGATACTTCACGCGCGCATTTCATTCTTCTTTCATTTTTACGTGTCGCATTTTTCACTTGGATATTTTAGACTATGATCTAATTCAAATGAAATACCGTAGAAATTTACGCTGTTTAAATACTCTATTTAGTGGAATTATATTTCCTTAATTGGCGCCGTCACGTCAAATTTTCTGCCGTTTTTTCGCCTTTAATTCCCGCTCCATTCCCTTCTCTTCCTTTATTTCTACGTGCAACATTCTATTTTGTGCGCCTGCAGGAGTACGGTAGCCGCGAAACGAACGCTTCCCCGGAGACGACGATGGCAACACTTGGCTACTCGTCCGCCGAGCTGAGCCGTCAGATCGAGCGCTCGATCTCGGCGATTAAAAGCGTGCTCGAGCCCGACCACGTCAGCTACACAAGTACCGTTTTAAAGGGAACTGAATGGGATGGGTAAAAACGTATTTTCTATATTTGTTTTGTCTGCATATATTTTTAGAACAAACACATTGCGCTTTGTAAAAATTTTTCGATGACCATTCCCAAGCACACTAAATTTATTCAATCCTAAAAATTTTTGAATTTTTGAAACATTATTTTTATCCAGGTCCCTGAAAAGGCAAGACCAATTATTTGCCAGGGATTGGCAAATGATTGCTAATTTAATTGAAAAAGAGCAAAAAGGCCGAAACTTCCCGGATCGATGACCACACATTTATACCCGTTGCAACCAGTTGTTCTTTTTAAATAGGATCTTTTTTTTTACACCAACAACGAAAGTTACTATTCTTTGACAACAGTGCTTTGGAAGCGTTTTTTATGAAACGTGTTTTTCCAATTTTACCACACTTGTTTAGCTTATTTTGAGGCCATACCAAAACATTTTTCCCATTTGTTTTACGTGGTTATTGACTCCGTCCGGGATAACCGAGGCTCTACTATAATTTGATGAAACACATGTTCCCCAGAAAATCGCGAAGGCAGTTCAATTGGCTCTCCCGGGTTGTTACGCACATAAACGGGCCTTTGCTGAATAATGTGATAAACGGCAAATGTTTTAACAAGTTTCTTTCGAAACAGATTTTTTCTAAGCTTTCGCTACCGCCACTTTTAAATTGGCTTTATGTTTCTCTATCCAATTTCTTTGGCTAATTTATGGAAATGGAAGTCTGCCTAATCAGATTTTAGCAAACAAGAATTACTAAAAGAGGAGATACTATGGAGATTTCCAAACATTGAGTTTTGCACTTTTATGAAACATAATCCCGCAATGACATGCCGGTCTGCTATACTTTACCCCCGGATTCCCTAGTACGGATTTGCAATTTGTAAGAAACGTACTACCTGCCGTAGAAATGAAAGAGAAATAGAAGAGGGCCCACCTGCCCTCCCTCTAATCCCCATTTTCGCAAGCTGTTTTGAGTACAGCCGACCCTTTAGGTGAAAATCTCCGACAAATAATCATAGAAAATGGTGCGTCCTGGGGGTAATTAATTCAAATGAAACTAAAAGAAGTGGTATCATTGGTTAATTTTGGGTGCTTTTACATTATCGGGGGAGGGGAACGCAAGGCTTTTCTTTAGTAGCCAATTTTTCTAACAGATCGAGGGGAAGAGTTTCTAAATTGTTTTTACGATTCTTAAATGCAAATGTTTGCAAATTCCTAGCAAAGAAATACATGAAAAATGGGTTTTTCGACCAAAATTCTCGATTTTTCTCGATCGGGATTCCAAATAAATTTTTTCTCTCAGTTTTTGTTATAGTTTGTTATAGTTTTGTTATATAGTTACGTTTTACTAAAACTTTAAAACCCCCGACGATACTACTCACACGTTCGTTATTAGGAACATAACCGCATTCAAAAAAAACGGGTGCGACCCCTGCTAAGCCCCTCCCCATCCCCCCCCCCCCGATACTGGAGAAGAAGCTATTTTCCAACAGGCAGCACACCGATTACTTGAAGCGAATTTGCACCGCATGTGAATTAGTCAGGGAAAGGAATTTGATGTCCCTAGTCTTCTTGAAACACTAATTTTATTATTTTTGTGAGAGCAATACCTCCTTTTATGAACGCATTTAAATAGTAGGATGTCTGGAACACTAGATTTTTTATTAAGGAAAGAAAGCAAGGTTTTAGTTGGACTGATATCGCAATTAGATTATTTCGCGTGTGGATGTAGTAGAATCAAAAATTTTTGAAACATTGTATATCCCGAAAAAAAGTCTGTTTTATGGATTTGGCTCGCCAGCGAAGTACGTTAATTGGCGAAGTACTTTTCTTTAATTCTAAATCTTCCTCGAGCACTTGTTGGAACTTTCGCTGGCTTCCGCCAATTAAAGGATACCGAAGACGCATGGCTTTTTGAAAGTTAATTTTGTAAAACTAAATGTTTTGAAAATTGTTTTTCACCAAATTTTCATCAAAGTTTTGATGAGATAATAGCTCTTCGGAACGCCATTTTCACGCTGTATTATCGAAACACATTTTTTTCGAAAAATCTGAATCGTACCGTATCGAAATGTGTTTTTGCAACTCCTACAACCATTTTTATAGGCAAACTAGCAGACACCCTTTAGGAAACCCTGGGCCCTCACTTCGGTCATTTTCCCGAGGGTCATTTGTCCTTTTTGTTTTCGGAAAACATGTTCCAAGAGTAGGGCCCCGCCGAGTTGCTTTCAATAAGAAACTGGGGAGGGCCAAAAGCCGGCGAGAGAGCCGGGCAATTGAGAGAGCGCAGAGAAAGCGAGGTACTCCCAAATAGTTTCACCGTAAACATCCCTTTTTAATAGATCACACCCGTGCAACACTAAACCGAAAATCGGAGATGGGGTGGGGGTCGGAATAAATTAGTTTAATGCAATAAATAAATTTAAAAAGGGAAATTTTACCGACTTTAAAGGGACTGATAAGGTACATCTATGGATTTTAACGTTGGCGTGATATTGCGTCGCCTTCGCTGCATCTATTAAAGTCCCGAAGGGCAATTCGTCACGAAATCTTTTTGAAACATTTTTGCAGGCGAAAATTCAACGTGAAAATTATAAAACGAAATAAATTCCTAGTTTCTGCTCATTCTAACGCAAAATCGACTACAATGTTAACAAGGGAAGGTTGTTTGGGTTAGGTGCCAAATCGACTTGAAACTTTGCCAGTGGATAGAAAATCAAAAATAAAGTGGAGTTTCTTAATCTCATTTTTTGCACAATACCCCAAATTAAAAAGTTATAGGTCTTTGAAGTTACATAAAAAAGCACGAAACGACCCGACAATTCTGATCTGGTCCTCATTGTGGCCTGCCCCCTTTTCAAGCTCTTACGTCGCCCGGACCTGCAAGCTGTTTGGCGCAGTAGGTAGTGCCGTAGAGTGCAAAACTTTTTAAAATTTTGTAATCGAGTTCAAGTCTTTGATGCGTCCAACTTTTTGCTTTTTGGATTTTACGCCAACTAACCCTAATTTGCAAGAGCAAAAAGCAAAAAGCAAAAAGATAGAAAAGTTTTAGTCTCGAACTTTTGCCAAAAAATTTTCAAAAGATTGTGAGTCAAGCGCACTACCGATTGCGCTAGAAGAGACGTGGGGAGCGGAGCCGAGAGAGGGTCAAGAAATCACGCATGAAGAAAATGTGGAAACGGTGCGGTATTGGTGCAAAAGCCCGCGCAGAACTCATTTTTCAGACCACAAACTTAAAATGCTTATAACTTTTTAATTAGGGGTATTGTGCAGAAAACGACTTAGCGCACCTTGTTCCGTTTTCAATTTTCTATCCGCTGGCCAATTTTCAGAAAGATTTGACACCTGACCCAAACAACCTTCCCTTGTAAGCGGAATGAGAGAGTTTCAACCGGAAGTCGATTTTACCGGAAATCGACCCAAAACGTGCCGAAAACCCCAGGGGAAAATTTGTAAAAATATTAGTTTTGCAACAACTCAACAACTACCTAGCTCGAAATTTCGTGTGCTTTAAATGCCCTTCCCCTATCCATTTTAAAAGTTTGTTTAATTTCCATCACATTTCTTATCGAGCCTATTTCCGATTGTAGTCTTGAACCCATGGCAATTTTGAAATTTTCTTGAAACATCAAACCTGCGCTCAATCACCGTCTTGATGCACCTTTCTTGCACTTTTCATTTTTTGGGTGCACTGCCGTATCTATTATCTATTATATTATAGCATTACCAAGTCAACTCCCAAATATTCAAAACACAATTTTTTAAGGTGCGCGGTGAGAATTCCTTCGACGGCAGGTTTGATGTTACCAACTACTAGGTCGATCATCTTGTACCGCATTTTTTAGGAACATTCTTTTTTTCAGGGTTGCTTCTTTCACATTGCCGGGGGAGGGGGGGTTAAATTTTTCCGGTATGGCGAGAAATGCCTAGAAACTTAGGAGTAAGCGCTTTAATAGTGTTTTTAGTACAGTGGAATTAGATTTCAACTGAAAAACTAATCAAAAATATTAGAAAAATGTTGATTGCGACCTTCTAATAAAATTTGTTAGTTCTTTACGTTAAGGATAAGTATAAAACCCTTTAAAATTCAATGTTTTTGGTTTATGATTACTTCAAAAAATGCTGCTTTGCTTAATCATTCACAATACCACAACTTATTCTTATTTTTTCCCAATTCATGAAATTTATTTTTTGGTTTTTCGCTATAAAGCGACCCCCGCTAATAATTCAGTACCTATAAAACTCCCATGCTGTTTGAACCCTCACACGATTTTTTTTACAGAAAAGGGAAGCGTAAATTTGGTGGGGCCAAGTCGGGGGGTGGTTTTTGTAAGAAGCAGCCGAGTCGACTACATTTCAATGTCGCGGGAAAGGGCATTTCTTTTGAGGTAACCTTGGCCCTCGGGATCCCCAGAAATCGTACAAAATGGGGGCTCTTTAGGCTCGAAAAAGTTGATTGCATGTATTCATGGTAAAGGGATGGGAACGGCTCGTTTTCCTTCAAGATTGGGGACCAAATATTCATTAAACCAAATGTTTCAAATTTTATTAATCTAAAGCAAGTACCATAGCATAGTAGCAGATTTTTTGTGAAGATAATTCTTTGAATTTCACCTAATCAACATAAAAATAATCATAACGCATGTGTTTCACTTGAAATTATGTTTTTAAGCTTTTCGACGCTTGAAAAAGCTGATTGCACATGTTCAAAAGGGACGGAGCCGCCGAATTCAGGGCAAAGATACATATCAAAAAGTTCCCAATGCACGGATTACTTGGGCAGCCAGCACAGCAAAATATTGAAACATTTTTTTCGCGAATCCCCAAGGAAAATGCAATTTTAAAAGCTAATTGTAATCATTAAAACATTGCTAAAAATGCTAATAAAAATAACGCGGTACCACAGCACCGATTAAAAACCAATGCTTCGACTCAGCTAGGCTAACAAGAGATTTCGCGCAGTGTAATTGCAGGTTCCGTAACGTGATTCTGATTCTGCCCGAAATTTCGTAATTAAATTTGTCCTGACAAAAAATGAAGAATGACAGGATCAATATTTGAAATCAAAAAATGCGGTAAAAGGTCTATTTATTGAAAAGTAAATCCTAATCAAGTTATAAAACTACATTAATTACTCCCCCCATTTTCAGAGCGAATCCCGAACTGCCAGAAATGCGGGCAGCATGGCCGGAAGAATCGGCTGAAGGGCCACAAACGCGTTTGCCCCTACAAGGATTGCACGTGCCCAAAGGTTCGTTGAAAGATGTCGTTTTTAAAATGTCACTTGTTTTGGACTTTAGTTCGTTAAATATGAACTTACCAGAATCAATTTTTCACCCATCTGGCTTCCCGAAAAAACTTTATTGCGCTGATAATGCGTGGTGATTCACCGAACTAAAAAAAATGTTTCTGATTTTTTCAAAAGGACGGCGTTTTTAAACGGGCTTTAAATTCCATTCGGGACCCTATCTTGTGCAGAATTTGCAAATTTGCCAAGTTACAGAGGCTTTTCTTATTAATCGGAAAGTGGAAAAACGTTGATATGGTGATAATTTACTTTAATTAACCCAGCAAAACCGGAAATCGCTCGGGGAAAAAGCTATGTTTTAAACCAAATATTAGCTAAGGCTTGAAAACGATAGTTAATTATCGTGGCTATGTAGCTTTTTTAAATTTTCCGTGAGAAAATTTTCGGCAACGTCAGAAAACAGGGTGAAACAAGGCCTTTTCCAACCTCTTAAGTTACAAATATAAATACAAATAAATTTACCAATCTATGTTTCAAAATATTTCAAAAGTGAGGTCATAAACGATAGCTTAATAGATCACGCGTGCTGTTTAATCTTATCTTTTCACGCTAAAAACTCAAAAAATAATTTGCTAAATTCTCTATTATATTAAATTGAAAATGTCCGTCAGGTTAGGAAAGTTATCGTATGTATATAAATTTATTAAAACATAAGATCCATCCAAATTTCGACACCTGCTTTGGGCCTCGGTCTGTCAGCAACCCCCGTCTGCAACGTAGCCACTATTATTCAACTTGGGCCCCCAGTCTGGGCCCTCTGTGGGCCACAACAGAGGGTCCCTACTCGAAAATATGCCATCTCGGGAAATGTCGCAATTCCTGGCTGGGGACGGGACTTAAAAAGATGGAAAAATATGTTTCGAAAATTGCGAGGAGTTAATGTTCGAAATTCGGCGTAATTCTCCGTCGGCAATTGTTGTCCAATGTTTGCATCAGTAGAAAGATTTTCGGTACTGGATTGCTAACAGAGGGACTAATTTTTCGTTTTTTAACCTCTACATACGGGTTGATAATATTTAATGTAGTTTTATGGTGTTTTAGTAGTTCTCATTGCTAGAAAGTTAGCAAAAATATTTAAAGTTTTGTAATATATCTGCATGTTTCATGAGCTGAGGCTTTTTTGTGGCAACTTAACATTTAATTGCCAGTCAGGTTCGATTTTGCCACCTCCCCCCCCTCCCCCCATTACAATGCATTGGTATTGCCATATTGGGTTCTTTTGGATTCCCGGGGGGTATTCCCTGGGCGGGGCTTGTTGCCAAATTTTGTCCTGGTGGTCCCGGTTGACCTAGTAACCAAATATAAAGTGGTTTCACATTGTTTTTAGCAAAGGTTAAGCCTATTTGAATAGGAAAAACTTTTTAAAACGTTAGAAAAACGCTTGAAAAACTCGAAAATTTTCATTTTTGGGCCGAAAAATGGATTTTTCGATCTAAAATTAAATTTTTTAATTAAATTTTGTAAAGTTAGTAGGCTTAGGAATAGTAACAATTTAGAAACACTTCCACTATCTATATAAAAATGGTAGGCCTGTGCCGAAAAAAATTTGGTTGATACGTAAGTCGATAAATGATCCGTTGAAGCGGCTTCATGATGGCATGATTTTCTGTAGAATTGATGTTTCACAAACTGGCCGATCTGCGGTCTCTGTTTCATAATTAATCGGTGCCGTTCCCAAGGAGCAATTCCAAATCTCCGTAAGCTCTAAAACGATCGCATTAATGGAATTCATCTTTCAGCTCTCTGCCTCTAAAAAATTCTCTATCTTTAAATGCATAAGTTCGACGAGAGCCCCCTAAATCATATGAAAGGCCTCAAAACAATAGCTTCCAGAAACCAAAAATGTTTCACAAAACCGCTTCTTTGACTAATTTTTCTCCAAGTTACTTGATGATAGTTCAATGATCGGAAAACGATTCTAACCCTCCCTTTAAACTAAAAATTCCGGAGACTACAGGCCCGGCCGATTTCCACACATTAATACAGAAATTCATCTTTCACCTCGGGGCCGCCATTATTTTTCAGCCGTGGCCATTTCTGGGGCCCACAACTTGGGGCGCAACACGAAAATATTCCTAAAAATGTCGCGCGCGTTACGTCGTAGGGGTGTCGAGTGGAAAACATAGGTAGCGAGAGAGAGTGAGAGAGAGAGAGAGAGGGAGGAGAGAGAGAGGGGAGAGAGATAGTAAAAGCGAGAGAGAGGGAGAGAGAGGGAGAGAGAGAGAGTAATAGAGAGAGGGAGAGAGAGGAGAGAGAGAGAGAGAGAGAGAGAGAGAGAGAGAGATACTGAGGGTGATAAAGAGAGACACAGAGACTGACAGAAACAGGGTCGTGCGAGACAGACAGGCAGCGGAATAGAGTGAAACAGAGCGAGCGAGGGAGTGAGGGTGCGAGAGTGAGAGTGAGTGAGAGGAAGAGAGAGAGATAAAACGAGTGAGAGTGAGGTATGCAGCTTCTTTCTCCTTCTTTCCCCCAACCGCCTAATTTGAGCCCCAGCTCCCCGTACGGAGAGGCGAAACGGAAAACAAAGATGTGTATCTACTTGGGGTGGAATTTTGCCTTTGTCGTCTGTCTCAACCGGGACAGGGAGGGATTGTTTTCAGGAAATGCCCTGCGGCTATAAACATCCACGGGGCTCCTTTTGGCCAGCTCCCCTTATATGAGCCGAATTATATAAGGAGATCCGCGTCTCTCTTGCCCCCGCCGAGTTGCCAACAACAATCAAAAGTGTGCGGCTGTGTTTTCGTGTCGGGACCCTTGGCAGAGGGGTACGGCAATCCCCGGGAAATTAGCCCCCGGCCCATGATTTGGTTATGGCGGAAAACAGATTTTGACACGTTAAAAGGGATATGCGATAAAGGCGGTAGACGGTATCGGAAGGGTTATTACGTCGAGAAATGACGAAGCCTAGCCAGACCTAAGCCAAGTTTAGACTAAGCCTAAGACTAAGCAAGCCTAAGCTTAAGCCTACGCCCAAGGCCAGTCCTGAGCCTGAGCCATGCCTAAGTCAAGCTCAAGCCAAACCTAGGTCATGCACAAACCTACGCGAAGCTTATACCAAGTCGAAACTTAAGCCTAAAATTAAGCCTAAGCCAAGCCGAGCCCAAGCCAAGGCACATAAGCCTAAGCCTTAGTCTAAGCCCAGCCTAAACCCAAGCCGAGCCTAAGCCTTGGCTGAGCCAAGTGAAAGCCTAAGCCAAGTCTAAGCCAAGCCTAAGCCAAGCCTAAGCCAAGCCTAAGCCCAAACCAGAGCCTAACCCCAACTTATCCAAGCAAAAATCCTCGTAAACCTAGGAAAACTGCAAATTCTCGAGAATCGAAAAGGCCATCTCGACTCGTTTAAAAAATATGAGTCAACAAATTTGGATTAGCAAAAAATTAGAAAGGAGTTAATTGCGAGCTCGGACAAATCTGAACAGTTTTATTGAAGCAGCTACCGCAAACGGTGCTCACAATTAGAAAAAAAAGATTATTTTAGGGAGATGCCTTTAAAATTATACAATGGAAATCGAACCTAGAGATATATTTCAGGAAACATTTAATATTAAATTCATAACGGCTACTATGTGATATTTTCAGTGCCAAGTGGTGTCGGAACGGCAAAAGCTGATGGCCGACCAGATTAAGATTCGACGACGGCAGAGGAAGGACACCCTTTTGAGGTTTGTCGGGCATTCATTTCCTAAACTATCGATTAAATATATTCAATAAAACTAATTAAGTTTAAAGCAACAGAATACTAGGCACAATGAATTATTGGCTGCTTTTTCCCGTTTCAGCCACAATATTTTTGAAACATTAATTTTCGCAATCGATTAGGCGGAAATTGCGTTTCGGAAATAGGAACCCGTTGAGATTTAATAAGGCCTTTATTTGCATAATCAGCGGTTATTTATGTATCAAAAATAGTTAAACTGAAAACTTGGAATCGTCCGGCATGATTTGCACCTTCATTCCAGGGTTCGATGGGCTGGGAGAAAAACCCAGGCCTAAAAACCGCCTTGGAGGTTGTCTAACAAAGTTCTAACCGGGTTTTATGGGTATCATTGGACGCGGGAGAGTGAGACGCATCGATTGAGGTGGTTTACAGCCTGATTCATACCTATCCGGAAAACCGCAGCCGTAAAACAGCTTTTTGCTACGATTTACATAAATTGAGGCATTGAGGTTGTCTAACAAGGTTCTAAGAGGTTTTTATGGGTATCATCTGACGCGAAAGAGTGAGACGCATCGAATGGTGTAGCTTAAAACCTGATCCGAGTCCATTCCGGAAAAATACCTCCGTAAAACAGCTTTTGTTAAGATTTGCACAAATTGGGGCTTGGAGGTTGTCTAGAAACGTTCTATGGGGTTTTTATGCACATCAATCGAACCGGAAGAGCGAGGTCCATCGAATGGTGTAGCTTAAGACCTGATCCGCCGCTTCCTGGTGATCAACTATAGGCAAAAGTCTCGCCCCGTCCCAATCAAATCGAACCATGCTTCATACCAACGAGAGATTAATTGATACCTCACTTGTTTTGACCAGCACATTTTTGAAACATAATTTTCGCAAAACCTCCAATTTCAAGAGAACGTTGCGTTTCGGAAATAAAAACCCGCTGAGATTTAATCGCCTTTAACTTGCATAATTATCGATTGTATATGTAGCAAAAAATAATTAAAATGGAAAGTTTCAATTGGCCGGCATGATTTAGACCTTGACTACGAACGACCGATTAATTAATACCTAACTCGTTTGCCCCCATATATTTTTTGAAACATGATTTTTTAGAAATTTTGAGCCGCGGAGAATTTTTTGCGGCGCTAAACCCCAAATATTCCCTTAATTTAAAACTTTTCGCATAGCTTTAAATTGGTTTATTCAGGTTTAAAGCATATTTGATGCGATGTGAATTTATTAACTGACCCGAACTGGAGAGATTATATAGAGTTTTCCTCGACGGATCGGCGAAACGCTTTTCTTTAATTAAAAGATTTATATATATTTTAGCAATTTTAAAAGTGACTCAATGGGTGCGTATTACTATTACTATCTGGGTACTATTAAGTATGGGCATGTAAAATATGCCAATATTTGGAGAAGAAGATGGGTAGGAATTAGGAATTCAACCAAATAGGTAAAACCGAAAATGTACGATACATCCATTTTTACGCTTTTTGCGAAGCCACGCTAGGTTTAAAAACATACTGTTGACCCAAAAACATACAAAATAGAAATATTTGAAAATATTTCTTTTTACAGCCTAACCCGTGAAAGCATCACGGCCACGATTTCTGCCCTCAGCCAAATGCCCAACAGCAACGTCAACAATCTGCAAGCCGCGCTGCTGTGTGAGTTTTTAATATATACTGATATGACTATTATAATCATTAGTATTACTATATTACTGTATATCCTGCATATCTTAGATGTATGCGGAAATTGGGCCCGTAAATGAAAAATGTTTTCAAAAAATTTAGTGGTGCTGGCGAGGGATTTTAGGCTAATGGGCTAAAAGCAACAGGCGGCGGCTAGGGAGTAATGTTTTTGCGAAAAGCGTCATTTTCAAATCACGTGCATACTTTCCATTTTTGCGTTCGGAATTTATGCCGCAAAAAACTACGCACAACGCCCAGCGCAACGCAACGACATAAGACATTTAATTACAAAGTATCGGTCAGGCTGATCGTAATTTTTAGCGTTAATATCGTAACTCTCGAGATTCGAGCGAACACCAGGGTTGGTCACGAAAAGAGCGGGAGCTGGGAGCGAGAGCTGATTTGCGAGCCCCGCTCAAGAGCGGGAGCGGGAGCTGAATATCCTCAGCTCCCGCTCCGCTCCGGCTCTTGAGCCGGCTCTTTTGAAAAAGAGCGAGAGCCGAACTCCGCTCAACGCAAACCGGATGCTGCAAATCAGATATCTATGCAAATAAGACAATGCAAGGCCAAAGATTTTCAGTTTTATTGGAATATTTTGGGAGATTTGCATAAATAACTAATTCTCAGCATCCGGTGGGGTAGAGCAGGGTCCGGCTCCCGCTCTTTTCCAAAAAGAGCCGGCTCAAGAGCTGGAGCTGAGCGGGAGCTGAAAATTTTCAGCTCCCGCTCGGCTCCTGCTCCCGCTCAGCTCCGGCTCAGAGCCGGCTCTCAGAATGACCAACCCTGGCGAACACGCAGCGGGCCGGTTTGAAATTTATCAGCAGAGAATTTTCCAAAGGAAACATGCGACATCATCATCGATTTTTCGCCACATTGCTGTTTCATGAAACACGTCGTTTTTAGCTTTTTTTGCATTTTGCCATCGGCTATAAGTAATTTTTTAAATAGTCTTTTACATTCTCAAAAAAACACGCTTTTGATTTTTTTATAGCTTGAAACTGTTCAGTTTGCAATTGATTTGATTGATTGATTTTATTATGAAACAAGTCATTCTTAAATCCAATTTTCGCACTTTTCCGCTTTGACATTTGGAAATTTATTCCGCAAAAATAACTACGTGGTGCACCTTACGCATTTAATAAGAAGGTAATTTTACAGTATCGTCGCGGCTTTATGGTAATTTTGTTCGTCAAGGAATACAGGAAGAAAACCAACGACGAATTAAATCTCATCGGCGGTCCCCACATTGCTGTTTTTATGAAACACGTCTTTTGACATGGCCTTCCCACGATCTGACATTCGAGCAAGAGGCCGTAATTTTTTGAAAATCGTCTTGTGTCCCTCTTTTAAATTTTATCGTCATATTTTAAATCTTTAAAGGACTGGTTTTTGCTTTTTATCGATTGGAAAGGTAAAGATTGGGATAGATTATTTTATGAAACCTCTCCAAAAGGAAATCCAAAAGCCATTTTTACATTTTTCCACTTTTTATATTCAGCCAACTCTCACTATTCCAAAAAAGCTACGTGGTCTGCCCCATCGCCGGAAACATGTTACGTGAGGTTTCCCCGTCCCACCACTTCCCAGCGAGGTTGGCCCAGACAGGTCGTCGTCGCCCCTTTGGCCTTTTTCTCGCCAATGTTCTGCCCCGCGGGTCCCCGACGCGAAAACATTCCGGAATAGCCGTGCACGGGCGTTTCCTCGAGGAGAGGGATACTGAGAGAAGTAAGTTTCGCCTGGTGCTCCCCTAGAAATCCCGATTAATATATACGGGAGTCTCCGGAAGCAGAGACGTATCTTTGGGGAGGCTTGTTTTGCCTGTCTCCACTCGATTCCGGAGCGCTTACCCTTTGCATTCCGGGTAGAAGCCGGGGATTACCTTGGAGTCCAACAGATACCAGAAAACGAGAAGCAGTACGGTGGCTAGGCTAACAAAGAAATTAAGGGATTGACGAACATCAAAACGAACCAGTCACTACCCATTAAGGAAATGACTCTCGTCTTCTACGGAAAAATTCTTCGGGACAATGCTGATTCCTTCGTTTTTGGAAATAATGAATCTTTTAAACAATCTGGGAGCCAATTTAAAACAAAATTCAAAATTTAATTGAATAATTACTTCAAGAACTTTGATCTCAGTCGATTTCGATTCCGGGGCGGCCGGCATTGGGTGTAGCCGAGAAAATGGACTTGCCTGTCGCAAACAGTTACCAAAAAAAGCAGAAGGGTACGGCAGCCGGAGCCAAAAATTAAATAAGAAATGAGAGAAATGAAAACATAAAAAGGGAAATTCACCAGTTAATCACCTCTTTATTGATTAGCACAATTGTTACGAAATTTGAATGGTAGATGAAACATTTAAAATTCCGGACTATTGGCTAAGAATTTTCACATTTTTTTAGAAATTCTGGGAGAGCTTTTTTGAATTCCCAACATTATTTTTTGGAATTCACATCCTGTTATTCCGGTCAGACCCTCATTTCATTCGGTGTAGGCGCCTTTAAATTTGCAGAAGAATGACATGTGCAACATCTAATTGACCCATCCCCATGTGCTTTCTACCAGGGTTTACCTGAAACATTTTGATTTTCTTGTACATTCTTGCTTACTCTACAGTTACTAGGCACTGCTGGACTTATAAAAAGAATTCAGCTATATTTTTCGGGGCGCTGGATCCGCGGGTTTGCTCAAGGTCTAATCCGCAATAAATTTTCTCCTTTTTTAACATCGGTTTTTGGAAACATTTTAATTTACGAATTTGCTGTTAGGACGGATTAAGTAGTTACCGTTTACAAAGCAATACAGTAATCATCCCAGGGTACGATAGCTGGGTCCAGTAACCAAAAAATTAATAAACTAACGCTGGTCGTGAAACGGGCTCTATTAAAGAAAGTGCGACATTTGTTAACCGCCTCACGGCTATGCATTTTTGAAACATTTATATGCAGTAGAAAGTGTCTATTGGCAAAAAAAGCGGAAAAATTGGACAAAAAAACTTGCTGTCAACTATTAACCGGGACGCAGTAAGCGGCTGGCCGTCGTTTTGGTGTATACATTTTTTTGGAACATTTTCATTTTACGGCAAAATGACCACCATCAAGAAATTAAGAATTCGTGAAGTAATGGGGCAGCGTGAAAATATTAACATTAGCTAGAAAGGTATATATAAATGTTAATTTTTCCGAATTCTTTTACTGGGGTTCAACGAAGCAAATATTAGCTTGAAATGCGGCGATAAGAAATCGATAAGTGACGCAACCTAAAAGAAGCAATCCAGCATAAAAACCTCCGCATCGAGCAACATTTTTAAGAAACATTTTAAAAATTTAATTTCCTGAAACAGTATCTGTTATTTGCAATTTCAGATAACCACATGAAGCCGTCAGGTGCGGCGTCCGCTCTTCAGAAGGCTTCCGAAATTCCGGCCACCTCATCCGCATCCTCGACCTCTATGCCCCCACTCTCACAAGCGGCTCCCGATCTACAGACGTTGATTTTGAGGTAGGTTTTTTGCAAGAAAAATGTTTCATGGAAAGTATGTTAATTTGGGATATATTACCTTGACAGTGACCCCCGAGAATACCATCAAAAATCTACTCTCTTACAACTAGCTTCAATCAATGTTTTTGCTTCTAATTTTGTTATTATTTCGGAAAAAAGGAATTAGAAAACATGATAGGTTTTCATGGATGAACTATTGGTTTCTGCAAAGATCTTTCTGCAAAGTGAAATCCTTTAAAAATCCTTCGGCTCAAACAGTTCAAACAGCCATAGTCTCATTGTATAAAAATCAATAAATTTTATGAGTTTCAGTAAATATAAATATTACGTAACAATAATTATCTTTTGCTTAAGTAAAAGTTTGGAATAAATGTTTCAAAAAATGTAGTGGGTCGCGTGGAAAGGGCGCCAATAATCGATGTGATCGTTGAACTTTTTAATGGGTCATAAAGTTTGCCAGAAAAATATTTTAATTGATCTTACTCGTATCCTACTATCCTACTATATATAAAAAAATAGTGTCTGTGTGTGTGTGCATTTGCATGCAACTTCCGTGAGGTGGGCAACTGTCTCACCTACAGCCTCAGGGGAAGGTTTTTAGGGTACGTATGATACGTCATTAGGTGCGTAATGGTGCCGAGATGAGTGCACACGAATCAAAGCTTTGAAAAATTACTGTTTTCGTTATTAAAATTGAGTTTTTGTAAAGATATCGGAAAATCTCTTTGTTAGGAGCCAATTTGCATGCACCGGAAGTGGGGAAAGCCTATATAAGGGGGTAGAGGGGTCCTTTTCATTTTTTTTTGCAATCAAGGTTCGGGAAGAAATATGTGTGCGTTAGACGGGGCCAGGGTTGAAAAGCCGCGAAGCGGTTTTTCAACCCTGGTTGCTTACTAACTTTCAAAATAACCACACGTTAAATAAACAAGCCTATGAAAAATGTTTTAAATAATCTGATAAGTGGGGCGGGTAAACTGTCGATAATACGATCCTTTTCGATTTTTTGGATTTAGGACCAAGCAATCAAGTTTGCGACTAAGCTATCTTAATTAATCTAACTCTAAAAAAATCCAAACTTTAATACATTAAAACTTTAAAAATAATACTTTAAAAATCCAGGTTTCAACTTGGCACTGGTAAACGTTAAAGTAGATAAAATACAATTTGATATAACAGAGCCGTACTTCTAAATTATTTTAATTGAGGGTTTCGACTAAAAGTTATCGTAATTATTCAATTTAATCTAAACTATAAAATTGCAGTAGCTCCGCGCCGCACCCGTCAACGATTCCGACGAGTACGGTAATGCTGGATCCACTCCTTCTCCCGCTGGCCGCCCCAATCGATCAACTCACGTCAACGGGTAAGCTTTTTCTTCGCTTTTTCTCCAAAATACACGTTAGTATACTACGGGAATAAATTAAAACTTATATATGGAAGTCTCAAAGTATATATAAATAAAACAAAATAAAATGCATTTTTAGTGTTTTTCCAAATACAATTTGATATTAGACTAAGAGAATAAATCGACAATTTATATTTAAAAGGTTTAAAGGTGGGTTTTAATGTATACAAAAAAGCCGTCAATAGTTACGGTGTCCACATCAATCTAAATAGCTCAATCTTGATTATCATTACTTTGGAGTTTGGTGAAACATTAGCTGCTCCAAAGAAAATTTTCCTTTCTGAAATTGGCTCCCCAATCGATCCGTTCACCGTGAGTTTTAGGAAAACATTATCTAAGTAAATTTTGTTACAAATTCTGGACTTTATGAAAATTTCGATAGTTAGATTTTTAAATGAAAATCGCTACTCGAGATTCTCCTGTCCGTTGGGATTTGAAACATTAAATTTATCATAAAAAAACGTTTGGCTTGTTCATTCGTCGAGTGAATTAGATCACTCCAATTCTAATGTTTAGCTTTAGACCCCTTTAATATGTGAAATCGATCAAATATAAAAAGCCCAGAATGTTCTTCGGAAACCAGTTTTCCAAGCGGCGAAGTAGTTTACATGGCAGTAAATAAAATTTGCATTAACGTTAATGGTTTGTGAAGGAATGTCTATTAACGTAATATTCACCTTCTTAATTGTTTTTTCAGTTAAATGTAATTTCACTGTCAACCAAAAAATGCAAACTTTTTATGTAAAAATTTTGTCGAAGTTTTTAAATACATTTCTTTTAAATATTCTTTTAAATATTCTTTTCTTCGAACGTTTGATCAAAATTGATTTTTTTTATTGTGAAAAATCGTTTGGAAAGACATCTGCGATTTATATTAGAAAAATTGGATTTTCGGGAAAAGCCCCCCCCCCCCGATAATGCGAAAGAACCAAATTCAAGCTAATGTAAGGTTTTTCTACACATAACTAGAGATGTTACGCATACGAATACGATGTGCTACTTCCGGCAGATTAGCCCGATATGCATATCTGATTTCAGAAAGAGTACCGATAATTCGAATACGACGATCGTATTCGAATAAGTCTCGGCTAGTTCCGACGCGATGATCTGGCAAGTCGGCTTCACGTCGGGATAAAAAGCTAATTTAAAATTGAAGACGAAATGCTATGTAAATATCAAAATATTGACACAGCCACCGGAGATGACCGAGAAATTGGCACCTAAATCTATTCAAATTATGCATATTCTGACTACTTGTTTCCATTTTCCGACCGTTTTCTTGGTAATATCGCTTTGCATCCCAATTAGCTTATTATCCCGATGTGAACCGTTTAAACGAATACGAACGTCGCATTCGCTTGGTTCCGACCGTAATTCGAATACGATGATCGGGTCGGAAATAAGAAATTTTTGATTCCGACGGCTTATTCGAATACGACGCGTAACTCCCATGTCGTATTCGTATGCGTAACATCTCTACACATAACCAAGCGATGGATTGGTCAACCACCAGCATTTCTCAATGCTCAATTTTTTGCAACATTGTTTGGGAAGTTTTTGGGGTTACCAGGTTTTTTCAAGATTTTTTAGTCCTATTTTTGTATTTTAAATAAGACAACAATAGTTCGCTCTCTTACCCTATTTCATCTATTTTACTCTTTTTCAGCCCTCCCACTCTCCCAGCCACTGCAGCCACTTCTCAACACCACCCCCGTCACCACACCGAAAATGGGCGTGCCAGATGTTTTGGGTAAGTAATAAACACAATTGTTTAATGGTTTTTACGGTATTAAAATGAGAATTAGCCTTCGTTGAGAAAAATCAAGCCAGCGGAACTCACGAATGCCGAACATTATAGATATCGGCCTTCAAAGTTGCCCACAATTTAAAGAAACATCAAAATTTAAAAGAATTTCGGGAGCTTATTGAGTTTTTAAGCTTTTAGTCCTAAATTTAATCGCTAAAACAAATAAAAAGGTGTAATGCAAAGCTAAGTAAGATATCAGCTAATCCAGAATATTACGGCTGTTACACTCCGCAACAAAATTATGCATGCGTCGGATTTACGCACAATTGGTTAGATCAAAAACCGACCCGACCCATGAACTTTTTGCAACATTGAAATTCCACGAATTCTGAGGTTCGCTGGGTATTAGATTCGGTCTCATGAGAACATGAAGAACTGATATCAGTTCGAGATGCTAAAATCGATAGAGTCAATAATGTACTCTAATTAAATAATTTATAATAAAATTTACAGTAGAAAAAGAGCTAAATGCAAAAGCTTAGTTCGCAAAAACACCCTTTAAACATTAATTTTTAACGTATTTTGCTGGAATCATATCAAATAGAGCGTTTTGAAAACCGAACTAGAAAGATTAAACTCGTGTTTTCATACTCGCTTTTTCAAACATGCCATTACTTGCTGCGATTTCGAAAAAAACTAACGCCAAATTGGTGCTGAAAATACGTTAAGTGATTAAAAGCTGCCACGGTCCGTTAAATACTTCAAATCTTGAACTCGGGCGAAGGGTGAAACACACAAAATTTCAGAACATTCGAGTTCGAGTTCGAGTTTCCGCCTTTTAGGTACTAAATAAACCCTGGGATGAGACATCTTAATCTTAAGTCTATTCTGGGTACTAAAAAACCACCGAAAACACTATCATTAAAGACAGATTAACGCAAGCGCAGGATTTTATCGTGAGCACAGAAATGCATTAACTAATCCAAAAACCATCCTCAATCCACGGTTTTTGAAACATTTAAATCTAACGCTCAAAACGCCAAATTTTGAAGAAGCTATGTGTTTTTTTTCAGCGAGCCTCGGTCTTCCCGGGACCCCGTCCTCCTCATCATCCTCCTCGACCCCAGCCGCCTTCAACTTCCCGCTCCTCTCGGCGGCCAATGAGCAACTACTGGGGCAGATCCTCCTCAACTACCATCTCTTCACCCAGGATCCAGCCATGGGTCTTCAGAAGCTGCCGCAGGAGGAGAATATGGCACCAGGGGTAAGTTTAGTATTATGGGTTCGAAGGTCTCCCTTGCCCTCTTGGAAAAGACGCGCACCTGGCCCACTGTTCGCCCACATAGGAGCCCCCTACCCAGTCACCTCAGCACTCAGTGCACCAAGTTTGAGGTTAGCATCAAACCCGAGGTCTTCCACGCGGAAACTTCGCTAATTTTGGAAAGCAGCTCTTCGGAGCTGCACTGATCGAATTCGTAGCTCACCGCAACTCCAAGCGACGATTAAGACATACACTGCTGGACATAATTTTGGGTTCACCCAAAGTTTTCGGCTTTTCTCGCACAGCAATGGGGCTCTCACCGTGCGCTTTGAGTATAGGGTTTGCCGAGTATATACTTATCAGGGCTTCGAAGGAAAACCGCGAAGAATTTTTAATTTTTGTTTAAATGGTTTTTTTGTAAAATTACCATTTTGGCAAGTGGTCATAATTTTGGGTTCACCCTGGGTAAGCCGCCAAAATGGTAATTTTACAAAAAAAACCATTTAAACAAAAACTAAAAATTCTTCGCGGTTTTCCTCGAAGCCTGATAGCTATACTCGGCAAACCTACTCAAAGCGCGCGGTGAGACCCATTGCATGCGCGGTGAGCAAATATGTGACCAACATTATCAGCATATAATGCAAGCACTGATCCGGCAAAAATCCTAACTAGGGAATGGTTTCCGGCGGACATCGGACCTAGATATGTGAGTAGGTGCATCTTGTAGAGCTCGACGAGACGAATCGTTTGATGTAACTTTTAGCTGCCAACGCCTTTAAATAAAAAAGTTACAACGGTTTAAAGTAAGGGAAAAAGCTTTGAACGCTTATAAATTTTTATCTGCTTTCTGCATTCAAAAAGTTTATTTCCACGATTGTAGAACAAATTACGCTCTATCGAATGACGCTAAGCATGAAAGAAACTGAATTTGGAAACTACTTTAATTATAGCGTTGAAGTTGACATTTTTAGCAAGAGTTTAGCTTGGAGCAGCGTGTACTGCTTCGTCGCGTAGTTTCCGGCGAAATTTTGCCAGTTTTTTTACTGCCGCCCATACTATGGGATGGAGTTGCCGTGAGTTGACGCTAAAAATGATTTCTTCCGCCACACGACAAAGCAGATCATGTTGGAAACCATGAGGACTTGCATACCCAAGCAAATCCGAAATTTACCTTCGTTTCAATATCAACATTTTATTCCCTTAAATTCACGCATGAGCATGATGGTTCCTATAATTCAGAATTACTGACGCGTAGTTTTGTGGTATGAAAATGATGCTTCAAACATTCCCGTAGTGAAATAAGTTCAAGACAGAACAATTGTCAGATGCTAACGATAACAATAAAAAGCCTGTGTTAACCGTTCAAACCATAATAATCAAATTTTATTTTTTCAGCTCCAACTCGCCGATCCGCCGGCCCCGTCTAATTCGATCATCGACGTGTGCTCCGTGTAGAAACTCCCATTTTCAATGTGTTATAACGCCTTTCTAATTTATTATTTTTCACCAGTTCCAATATGTATACTTTGCCCTTACATTTCCCGAATCCCCTAAATTACGGACCATTTCTTCCTCCTCCGTTCTTTCACCCCCCACCCTGGCGAGTCCGAATTCCTTGCAGTTTAAAGGGATGGACAAGGCATATCTTTATCGATTTCTAGCTTTATTTTGATTTGCCATGCAGGCGAAATGCGACGCACACGCACCGCAGATTGGCTGGGCTGGGGCCTAATGCAGTACGCAAGGGAACGGAAGGCAACCGTAGCAGTCTAATGCCAGATCCATACCTTGCACGCTCGTTTAAAGGAGTCGGCAAGGCATGCATACGGGATTTATAGCTGCGGATTCGATTTAGCCGCACCCGCGGGACGCAACGCGTAGAATCAAGACAAAAAATCTGTAATATCTAATCGGTTACGCAATAGAGTAGAAACCACATGCGCTGCGTGTCGCGGCGAGATTGAGAAAGCTCGCAGCAAGCTCTAGCCGGTTACGCATTGAAAGACCGAACCCGCTCGTTGCGTGTCGCGGCGCTGGAACAGTTTTTACTAACCTAAGCGAACACCATCCATAGCCGTGCCTTGTCAATCCCTTTAAGCTTCGTATGTTTAGACATTTTTCGAATTGGAACCTAGTGACCTCAACCCCCCCCTTACCCTCCTGAAAAGCGCATGATCCCGCAACATCAACTACCTCAAGTGCCGCACAATCCCTCAACAAAACACAATCGATTCCAAAAACCCACACCCCTTACCTCACACCGTGAATTCATGATACATATGCTAGTTACGCATTCGGTTTGTATTTTTTTCTCTTGGGAATTATTTTGTATTTTTGTGAAAGGTCGGACATTACGGAAAATTAGATTTTAAATTTAAATACGAATTAAAATCTCCATGTTTAGCGATTTTCCAGAGAAAAAGTAAACAATTAAAAATTTTTAAATTCAAATGTTTCAAAAAAATTTAAAAGTTGAAAATTATTTTGGACAAGTCCACCTGCTTAATTGCTAAAATTCTTAATTGCTTTTAATTGTTATAAAAATGAAACATGTAAACGCAACGTTAGCTATATAAAAAACTATACTGCATTTCTAAAAAATAATTATCCCAGTTTAAAACATCTTTCTTTCGATTCAAATAAGTTTCATGCAAAATAAGGTCGTCGAAGCAAGATCCCTTCATTAACCGACCTTTCTCAAAATCCATGATTTCCTGCGTCGAAACATATTTTTTCCGGTTGGACCAACCCCGTTTTATACCTGCAGCTGATTTTAACGTCAAATTGAGTTGACCTTGGTGAAATATTGTCCACCAGCCCCCGGATGTGATTCCCCAAACCCAATTCTATTCTTGTCGGCATTGTTTTTCGGTGTTCTACCGCTCTGTAACGTTATTTCCATTTTCCTTTTAAAATAAATTATTCAAAAAACGAAATACAAGACACACACCATAGCGAGCAATAAATAACGCAGGATGGACGAATTAGCTTCGAAACAGGTGAATATAACTTTTTGATTATGGCCCAGGTGTCATCTTTCTGTTCATTCCATTTGGTTGATTTTTAAATTTACGAGTCGAGTTAGAGCACTGCAAAAACCGTTGTGCATAAGCGAAAGTCGCCCATCTGGCTCACTATTTCCCGACATAGCCATCATCATTATTTGCTTGCCGGATTCGTCCAACAAGCTTGAGGTTGGTGTTTAACCCGAGTTCTCCCTTTGGGGCTACTCGTAAATTTTGGAACGCGACCTTTCGGTCGCACTACGGTATCATAGAGATCCCAGCGCCCAAAACCCGCTTCGCGGGCCTTGGGCGCTGGAATGCGGCCTTTGCAGGAGGAATTTGCCTTCCCGATAGCTCGGGTCCTTCGGACCCCCTCCCCCCGTCCGACCACACGCGCGAGTGCAACTGGCAAGAATGAGAAAATTTGTATTTTTTCACCTTATGCAAATTAGCCCTCCCGGAGCCCCAAAAATCAATAAAACTTGCTTTAACTTGTAAACTTGTATTTTATCGAAATTCTGAAAACGCCATCGGAAACAGAAGGGTCGATTCCCCCGGGTGTCGGAGAATTAGGGCATTTTATGCACAGGAAGGCCCTCAAATCGGGCCTCGAAAGTGACATCCACACACACACACACACACACACACACACACACACACACATACACTCCAAAATTATATAAGGTAGGATTATTTAAGGCAAGGTTTTACGTCGGATACGTTCTTACCTGATAACGGCCCGGCCGGCACCAGCAGGAACTGGATTATTTCTGGTGCGTCGAAGCGACAGTCGCACACCTGGCCCACTATTGGATCATATAGACCACATAGCATTCGAGGCTACGGATTCGTCCAACAAGCTTGAGGTTGGTATTTAACCCGGGTTCTCCCCTGCGAGATTCTCGTAAATTTTGGAAAGTGGCTTTCGAGGCCACACTGTTTGCATGATTTTTGCACCTCTTGGCATTTGCATCTTACATATTATATAGTAATTCATTAATTTGCTTACCGAATACAACCGTCACGCAAACCAATCCATTCACAAACCCAAACCATTGCACGACTCCCCAATGTTCTCCTGATGGGCTGCGCAAAATCGAAGCCACCGGATCGATTTGGGAAGCCGCCGGATCGATTTGGAAACCCACCAGAAGAACACTGGGTGGGTTTTCACTATGCTTTTAGATATTTTACCAGGGTTGAAAAGCCGCTTCGCGACTTTTCAACCCTGGCCTTGTATGGCCGCATTTTATCTTTCACTTTGCATACTTGTCCTGAATTCAGAAGGCAAAAATGAAAAACCACTTCGTCTGCCGCTTTATATAGTCCCGTCCCCACTACCGCTCTATGCTAATTGTTTTTAACAAAGAAGTTTTCACAAAAACCTAAATTTAATGTCGAAAATCGCTGATTTTGTAAAAGCTGATAGGTGTGCAGTCATCCCAAGACCATTACGCACCTAATGTCGTATCATACGTAGCCTAATACCCGCCCCGTCTTGAGATATCCTCCGGACAGACAGACGGAAGTGGATGCAAAGTGGCACACACACACACACACACAAACACTATTTTTTTATATATAGTAGGATTCGTCGTGATAAAGGATTATATACGAGTTTATTTCGCTTTTCAGATCCGCCGCTGTATCGGTGGCTGTTGCTGCTGCAAAAAGAAGCCCAAGATCAGCCCACCCTGCCCACCTGACTGGGATAAGCCTTTCCGAGTGGGTGCGGCCGGTGTTTTGGTTAAAGAGGAGATTTGAACTTAGGGGATCCGGTACTGGTCTCTTAACGGGGGTGTATTTTCACGGGGTGGAAGCCTAACTCTGGCTTCTCGGGGTACTGGACTGTTAGCTGGGGATGATTTCTGTTTCCTTTCTGTTTGTTACCGGGGGACGACAAAGTGCTAAAAAAGCTTTCCTCCGCTAAAGGCAAAAGCTTGCCAATTTTTTGCCAACTTCTCTTTTCTGAAAATCCACTCATTTACATCTTTAGGAATGGGGCCGTCAATTCCTGGAAGTCGACAGCGCGATAGACCTGGAAAAGGCACGGACCTGGTTCTGGCACCCCACCCTCTTCAAGGTATGCTAATAAATCGGAATTGATGTTTTGTACGCACTGATTTAGGTACAGTTTGCGAATTATATCATTTCAACCCGTTGTGTGACAGCGCTATGCCAAAATACTCGTCAGAGCAAGACCAGCATTTTCGTACACTTGATACCCCGGTAGACAAACAGGGGAGCCAAGACACAAAAGTTGGCGCCGGCTGGGGGGGGGAGGTAACCGACAGGCGCACTCACGGCTTTAAAGGCATTTCAAAGAACGAAAAGGAAGTTATAATTGCATTGTTTTCATTAAAAACGTTCGAGAGCATACTATTAGATATTCTGATGTATTAAAATCATGTCTGTAGGAGATTTAATTGAGGTATGCAACGGTCTCAAAGGTCGTTCCTGGAAAAGACGCGCACCTGGCCCACTGTTCGCCCACATAGGCGCCCCCCACCTATTCGCCCCAGCACTAGTTGCACCGGTTTGAGGTTAGCATCAAGCCCGAAGTCTTCCACACGGAAGCTTCGCTAATTTTGGAAAGCAGCTCTGCGGAGCAGCACAAATAAGTATCGGGAGTTAACGATGCTAAGCAATTGGGATAGCATCCTTTTTTCAGTGTAACCCATGCATCGACGCGACGCGTGTCCATGTTTTCGAAGCGAACAACTGCGACCAATTCTACCACGCGAACTGGGTCCGCCCTGCCAACTCGGAGCAACAGTTCATCTTGGCCGAGGCGCCGCACCTCAAGGCGACATGTCGTGACTTTTGGGCCATGGTCTGGCAGGAGAAGGTCAATGTGGGTGCTCAATTCTGATACGGTTTTGGCTAAACGCTTAGCTAAACTCGTTTGAAATTATCGACATAAGGGTAGACATGTTTTTCAGTGTATTCTGTTTCTGGGTCACCGCTGGGATATGTACACCGATATGTTCACCGAAAACTTCGTTGTGCCTGACCTTAGCGGAACTCCCTACACCGTGGAAGCTGAATTCTCGGGAAAGGTGGGGGCTAAAGCCTAGTTTACCCCATTACCATGGGGGACGAGACGAGAAGGTTCACGCCAGAAACGATGTTTCAGTTCAATTTCGCGCACGAAACGAGTCTGAAGGTGCGCGCTCATAGCCTGTTGATGAGACGAGAAGGCAGCAACCCCCACAGCATCAACATGTTTAAGGCGAGATTTATTTGGCATGATTAGTGCGGTAGAACAAACGTCGTTGCTGGGCTCTTAGCAAGGGAGATTTTCAACAGGGCGAAAACTAATTTTCCCCAGTAATCCTATACGGTCCTTTAACAAAGCCTAAACCCTATTTATGGATAAAATTTTGCAGAGCTCTTAAACACAAAATATATGAAAAGTTATGGAAAAAAACAGATTTTTCAAACTTCAAAAGGTTTTTGTAACTTCCTAGCAGTCAAACGCTGTGAAAAACCTTCGAAAAAGATACTATTTATTATTAACTGGTTGATATATAGACGAAAAAACAAAAACTAGTAGTCCCCTGATAACGAACCAGCATCAAATAAACTGTTCAGGTGGACTGGCGCGATGGGGAAGGCTTCAAGCCGGATTTGGGGCTTTGCGAGTTGTTGGTGTATATCGGAGAGGAGAGGTACTTTTAAAACTTTGGGTTCTTTTCGCATTATCGGGGGAGGACCAGTTTTTTTAAGTCCAGAAATGCCTATGCGCTTCTTACTAAGTCATTTAAGAGTTCAAAAAGACCTAACACAAAGACTTCAAGAAAAGTTTAAGGATGAGAAATGTTTGTCAAAAAATCGGCCATGCTAGCTCGAAACAAAGATTTTTTGCATTCTTGCATGCTTTAAAAAATTTCGTGTAATGTAAATAGGTGATAAAGATGTGAAAGTTAAAAATATGGATTTTTTTTGACCAAAAAGTTTTTTCAGGATGGATTCTCCAGGATCAGGAACAGATTTTTAGATACTTTTCTGTTTGCAATATATAATTTTATTTTACCAAAAACATGATCAAAATACTTCCCATTTAGTTGCTAGACATTTCTAAGACTATACAAAAGATTGGATGCAAAAACGAGCACCGCCTGCAGGACGGTGCTGATCCACGGCGAGGCTGGGCGCGGACGTACCGGGACGCTGATGCTGCTCCGGATGGGGATGACGGCCATCGATCATGGAATCCCCTTCGACCCGAAAGAGCAGCTGCGGGAGCTGCGAGCGGCTCGTGCTGGCGCCGTGGAGGTATCATTTTGGTACTGGACTGTTATAAGGGGGGTTTTTGCAGGGTTTCTTTTTTGTGACTTTTGGTTCTTTCGTATCCCGGGGGGGGGTGGGAATTCCGGGGAGGGGAAACCGACCTTTTTTGTCCCAAGCCTCGAATTTTTATATAAATGGTGGAAGTGTTTCTAAATTGTATCTAAATTCCTAAGCATACAAACTTTACAAAAATTAATTCAAAAATTTATTTTAGTTCTAAAAATCAATTTTTTCGGCCCAAAAATGACCAAATTTTCGGCTTTTTCAAAAGTTTTTCTAACTTTTTAAAAATTTTTTTCCGATTCAGATAGGCTTAAATTTGCTAAAAACAATGTGCGAACATTTTATATTTGATTGCTATCCCCACCAGGGCCGACAGGAAAAAAGTTGGCTCCGCTCTTTCAGTCATCAAAAATATTAATGGAACTTAGAAAGCCCTCCCCCCGTTAACAGCCCAGTACTCCGATTTTACAGCTTTTCGGCCTAACCCTCGCAATTTACAGAAGAAGGAACAATTCGCCTCCTGCCAGGCGGCCCTCCATCTCTACCACTTGCAAACGCAGACCGACATTTCCGAGAAGGACTTGGAAGAGTGGGACAAATTTGCCGAATTCCCGAAAAGCCTAAATATAGCCTAAGAATAGCCGAAAGAGACGGAGAGAGAGAGAGAGAGAGAGAGAGAGAGAGAAAAGAGCATTTTTGATTGGTTCTTTCGCACTATCGGGGAAAGAGTTTATCGGCCGTGTTTCTAAATTGTTTTAACTATTTAGATAAACGTCAAAGCTCTACATTTTCTCTTAAAAAATGACAAAAACTCGATCTCTCGACCAGAAACTTCGGCCAAAATGTCTGCTTTAGAATTTTTTTGAAAGTTTGAGTTGAAAACTAAAAACACTAATAAAATACTTCCGATCAAGTTACTACGCATTTCCAGACTTTCCACAAAATTCGAATATCCATAAGTTGGCCCACGAAGTTGGGTCCCCCCTAACAAACCAGAGCCAACGGTGCTTTCAGGGCGCGAGGCGAGGTGGTGAGGGCATGGCATCGGTTTCGTTAAAAACAAGACGCTCCATTAATTCATGTATACATACTGTACTTTTGTCTCAGTCGACTGTTAATACGAAACGAATTCCAAACCAAACTGTTGTCCTCGGTTGTGATTTGTTGTGTGCCCTCGGAATAAATAATATACTGTGTATTTTTCGAAGTGATGAATTTCAGGCTTGAACTAAAACAAATCAGTGAATGCGAACTTGCATAACAAAGGTGAAAGGGCCGCAGAAAATGTCGAAACACATTTTTTGTAAACTTTTTTTATGCTGGAGCCTCAACAGAAGGCAAATTAAAATGTTTTCCATCCTAAGGAAAACTGAACAGCTTCATCGCGGCAGTACGATACCCTTTGCTTACCGTCAGGAACACGAGTTTCGGAGCTTAAAACGTTCCAGGTAGTAGCGTCTAACTAAGGTAGATTTTTGCCATTTAAAGTCACATTCCATCTCGTTTTCAAGGTCTCGTATTGAAATGGCCAACATTTTAGCACGCGGTTATGGTAAGTTCTCGACATCCGGCAAAACCGGACCCGCACCACTGCTCTGCCGCCCAAGGGTCACATTCGGGCCACTGATTAATGGTTCAGAACAAGAGCGGAATGTACCTTTAAAGCAGAATCAAAGCCATAAAAATAAAGGAAAACATTTCGGCCTTTCCTCAGCTCCAAAGGGCCTATTATTTTTCGGCATTTAAGTGTACTGTCTATTTTTATTTAAGTATGAAAACATGTGTTTCGTTCAGCGAACTTTTTAAAATGTTCGAATACCTCTTCCTCTATACCTCTTCAATTTTTCCCACACCCCATAGGGTCTAATTTTCAGCGTTTTAGCCAATCAAAATTATGATTTTTGTTCGAGGTCAGCAAACAAACTCAATTGTTTCAAGTTGCATGGCATACTCAAAAAATCATGCTTCTGCAATTCTAGCTTCGCTGTCAGCTTTCAAACCATTTTCGAGGGTCAGAAACGCTATGTGAAAGATTTTCTCGCTAAAAAGCTTTTTCCAGGTATCAGGTGTAGGGAAGATCTGCGCAGCTTGATACTATTCTTTTGTATCGCGACATAAGTGCCTACATTTTTGAAACGCATGTTGTTGAAATTTGGCAGTCCAAAACAAATCAGTCAGCATTGATCCATTTTTAGAGCCCTGTGGTCCATGCATTAGGGAAGCATATTTTTCTTTTTTCTGAATAGGCTTTTCTAATGTGCTTAAAATGATAATAAAGCCTAAACAATAAAAGTAAAAAGTTCTTAATAAAAATCTCGAATTTTTAGTGTTTCTATTAAAGCGCATTAGCTAGGAAGAGCAGAGCATTAGGAAGAACTAACAAATTTTACTTTTTAACAACTCAAAATAGTGCCACCCTACTAATTCGACCATGCTCTTTCAGATGACGTCAAAAAAACAGGGTCGAAAAAAACTGTACCAAGCCATATTGGGGGCAGGTCGGGTGAGCCGCGGAAGGTCTTTTAACGACTGGCTAATGGTGATGATTACCAGTTCCCAGGCCTGTGACCCCTTTTAAAGCAACAGTTCCTGTTTGATCAAGACCAGAGCCGGTATTTTTTTGGGGAAAGGAAAAAGCCGCATCCTCTCACTAACTCGACCCCGAAAAGCCACAGGAAATACCTGTTCGGATCAGCTTTCTTCGGTTATTCGCTTTCTCTACTTCTCTCTCTGTCCCTCTCGCTCCCTCTCTCTCTCACGAGCTTCGCGCAATTTTACCCCAAGTCAAATATGCATAAAATGAGGAAATACGAAAAAAGACCGGGGGACAATCTGGGAACCTTCGAATAATGGGTCTTGGAATTTTGTGCTTCGCAAGGAATAGGCAAGCAAGGAATTTTTCTGCGTTTTTCATCACGTAGTGTGTGTTTCGAAAACCTGTCAGTACTTTGCGTTAGTAGTATGATTCAATGCACTGTATAAACGACTCCAGAAAAGGAGGCAACTCAGCGAAAAGAAGCTAGCTTGTCCCTTGAAATTTATTTTTTTTGGGTTCTAAAAAAAATCGTAAAAAAATTTTTACGATGAAAATACGGGGAAATTCTGACACCTGTGCAACCTATTTCGAAACTGGCAGCTGTCAAGGCAATAAAAAATTCGTCCAAGCTTGCAGAAAAACCAAACCAAGCAGTGGTCTGATCCCTAACTCATGAAGAAATGTTTCATATATTTTTCACCACATGGAAAAAATTGGAGCGATCACTATGGCCAAAAATGCTCTTCACAAAAAACACGTACTTCAGGATTTTTGCAAAAATACCTAAAAATGAATTAACGAGTAGCCTTTACCTAAATTTCGAAAAAATAAAAAATGTTGCAAGCGTTTATGATTCCTTGCAAAAAAATGCGGTGGCTACTAGCAAGACGCTTAGCCCTCCTTGTAAATTCTACCAAGTGCGAATTAAGTTTAAAAACGCTTTCAAAACGTAGGCTCGGGTTTCATGAATTACAAAATAGCCAGCGATTTGTTAAATACGTGTGGCAAAAACCTTGAAAACGCGGTACGATCAGTTTGGATTTCGACGTCCTGCAAAACACATGTTCCAAAAATCTCCAAAAATCAATCTAATTACAAAATTACGAAGCTTTTGCGTTTAAAAATAATAAAAAAGTTTAGAAACATTTTTGTTAGTTGAAAAATTGGATCTTAAGAAAAAAGTTGGCTCCCCAAATTGTGAATCAAAAAAATGTGTTTTATGAACTCGAGGACCTACAAGCAAACGTGCGTTGAGAATGAGCTTAGTGACGGTGCCGTAAAACGTCTGCCCGAAAATGGGGGCGCTTAAAAGGCCGTCCGCGGGTCACCCGAACAAGGCTTGGTACAGTTTTTTTCGACCCTGTTTTTTTGACGTCATCTGAAAGAGCATGGTCGAATTAGTAGGGTGGCACTATTTTGAGATGTTAAAAAGTTTATTTTCCTAGTTAAATTTGGCTCTAAAGTTGCAAACCTCAAAAAATATCTCGGTAACTACCGGGCCGAATAGGCTCAAATTTGTGACTAGGCCTAATTTGGGATGGGGATCATTTTCTCTACATTGCGAAGCACGAAAATGGCCGGAACATAGGTATATTTCGTACTAAAAACAGTTTTTTGCAGTTTTCGACTTGATGGGTGTTCGGCCGCATCATGAGACTAGCATAGAAAGATGCGCCATTCTTTTCTGCATCGATTGATGTATCGTTTATCAGTCGGCCAGACAGCCATTTGCTCGAATAGTCCATTTAGTGCGCTCAAAACGCACCAAAAATGTACCCGAAAAATGCATAACAAAAAATTTTTGAATTTTAAAGCGTGAAAACACATCTGTAAGACGAGCTGAAGCTATTGCAAAAAAGAGCAAAACGAAATTCGGCTTCTGAGAGGGGGCTGGGATTGAACTGGCGGCAGCTCCGGATTGGCACGCCGACGCTCTACTCACTGCGCCACAGGGCTCCCAGGCACACGACCCGGGTCCGATTCCTGCCGGATTTCAGACCTCTTTTAAAAATGGTATTTCTTTTTGCTCTTTTTTGCAATAGCTTCAGCTCGTCTTACAGATGTGTTTTCACGCTTTAAAATTCAAAAATTTTTTGTTATGCATTTTTCGGGTACATTTTTGGTGCGTTTTGAGCGCACTAAATGGACTATTCGAGCAAATGGCTGTCTGGCCGACTGATAAACGATACATCAATCGATGCAGAAAAGAATGGCGCATCTTTCTATGCTAGTCTCATGATGCGGCCGAACACCCATCAAGTCGAAAACTGCAAAAAACTGTTTTTAGTACGAAATATACCTATGTTCCGGCCATTTTCGTGCTTCGCAATGTATGAGAAAAATGATCCCCATCCCAAATTAGGCCTAGTCACAAAATTTGAGCCTATTCGGCCCGGTAGTTACCGAGATATTTTTTGAGGTTTGCAACTTTAGAGCCAAATTTAACTAGGAAAATAAACTTTTTAACATCTCAAAATAGTGCCACCCTACTAATTCGACCATGCTCTTTCAGATGACGTCAAAAAAACAGGGTCGAAAAAAACTGTACCAAGCCTTGTTCGGGTGACCCGCGGACGGCCTTTTAAGCGCCCCCATTTTCGGGCAGACGTTTTACGGCACCGTCACTAAGCTCATTCTCAACGCACGTTTGCTTGTAGGTCCTCGAGTTCATAAAACACATTTTTTTGATTCACAATTTGGGGAGCCAACTTTTTTCTTAGGATCCAATTTTTCAACTAACGAAAATGTTTCTAAACTTTTTTATTATTTTTAAGAGCAAAAGCCGCGCCATTTTGCAATTAGATTGATTTTTGGAGATTTTTGGAACATGTGTTTTGCAGGACGTCGAAATCCAAACTGATCGCACCGCGTTTTCAAGGTTTTTGCCACACGTATTTAACAAATCGCTGGCTATTTTGTAATTCATGAAACCCGAGCCTACGTTTTGAAAGCGTTTTTAAACTTAATTCGCACTTGGTAGAATTTACAAGGAGGGCTAAGCGTCTTGCTAGTAGCCACTGCATTTTTTTGCAAGGAATCATAAACGCTTGCAACATTTTTTATTTTTTCGAAACTTAGGTAAAGGCTACTCGTTAATTCTTTTTTAGGTATTTTTGCAAAAATCCTGAAGTACGTGTTTTTTGTGAAGAGCATTTTTGGCCATAGTGATTGCTCCAATTTTTTCCATATGGTGAAAAATATATGAAACATTTCTTCATGAGTTAGGGATCAGACCACTGCTTGGTTTGGTTTTTCTGCAAGCTTGGACGAATTTTTTATTGCCTTGACAGCTGCCAGTTTCGAAATAGGTTGCACAGGTGTCAAAATTTCCCCGTATTTTCATCGTAAAAATTTTTTTACGATTTTTTTAGAACCCAAAAAAAATAAATTTCAAGGGACAAGCTAGCTTCTTTTCGCTGAGTTGCCTCCTTTTCTGGAGTCGTTTATACAGTGCATTGAATCATACTACTAGCGCAAAGTACTGACAGGTTTTCGAAACACACACTACGTGATGAAAAACGCAGAAAAATTCCTTGCTTGCCTATTCCTTGCGAAGCACATAATTCCAAGACACATACACTCGCAGCTCACTAATAGCTTGATTTTCTTCATGGTAATTGGGTTAATGGGAAACATTTTTCCGACATACCCAACATACCCAAGTCATTGTTAACTTTGAAACGGAGCACCAATTATTGGAAGGTTCCCAGATTGTCCCCGGTCTTTTTTCGTTACATTTTCTTATAAAAAACTTTTTTACAATTTGCTAAAACCAAGCTCAAGTTTGCTAGATGCAAACAAGCACGATCAATTTTGAAACGATGTTGCATACAGGGCGCTCGAAAATTCAGTCGAAAGCTCGAAAGCTCGCTCGAGCAAACGCTCGAAATTTTGCAGTAATGACCTTGTGTGAAAGTGGGATAGGCAACCGCTAAAACCACCTAAAAACATAAATATAAGGACACGGATATAAGCCCTTTATACATTAATGGCCTGATGTCGGAATTATATCGGATTTCCAGCGCAAGTTTTTATTACAAAAAGTTCGCTTTTCCATAAGTATGGATTTGAAATGATTTTACCTAACCAATTTGACAGAGTTTTCTCGTTTTCTGGAATCGGGTTAGCAGTAAGTAGGACTTGACCACGAAGGATTTTCAGAAAACGTAAAATGCGGTTAGCTGCGAAATCGATTTTGCCCTTCCTGCTGCTCTCTTCGACGATGGCCATATTTTTCGGAGGTGGAGGAGGAGGAGGAGGAGGGGGCGGATGTTGTTGCGGATGCGGAACACCACAGCCACCATCTTGTGGATGTCAGGTATGGTCAGAGTAAAGGGAACGATTTCTAATTCACGGGTTATTAACTAGAACAGCGTCTTTATTTGATGTTTCAGGTCATGAAGTGAATTGGCAGTTGATAGGAACCAGAATACCTAGTGGCCTAGCTCCGTGTAAAAGCGCGAGTGGGAGAGACACCCAAGGAGAGAGAGAGAGAGAGAGAGAGAGAGATAGCGAGAGAGTGAGCGAGTGAGTGAGCGAGACGGAGGGGAGGGAAGCGGGCGTGAGTGAGAGAGACGGATAGATAGACAGTGATCGATTGAGCGAGAAAGAGAGAGAGAGAGAGAGAGAGAGAGAGAGAGAGAGAGAATGAGAGAGAGAGTGAAAGAGAGAGATAGAGCGAGAGAGAGAGAGAGAGAGAGAGAGAGAGAGAGAGAGAGAGAGAGAGAGAGACGGAGGGGAGGGACCGAGGGGAGGGACTAAGAGCCAGAGACACAGAAATGGAGCCAGAGGAGGGTAGAGGGCGTGAGTGAGAGAGACGGATAGATCGACAGTGTTCGATTGAGCGAGAAAGAGAGAGAGATAGAGAGAGAGATAGAGAGAGATAGAAAGAGAAAGAGAGAGAGAATGATTTCGAAATTGGTAGTGGAAAAAACCCGAACAAAAATATATGTTTTTATCCCATGGTAACAGTCGTGCGTTTGAAATGTACGTAATCTGCCACTGAGCGCTAAATTATAAAATTTCAATCCCCGTTCTTAGTTAATTTTAATTAAAATTTTAAGTATGTTAATTAATCCAATCCAGCCTGCCTGCCCAGCCCCTCCACCATGTCCAGTATGCCGGCCGAAGCCGTGTCCCGTTTGCGCGCCGGCCCCGAGCTGTGGTGAGTTTTTCTAATTAAATTTGAACTCTAAAGGGAACGTGAATGCGTGGGATGGCAATTTTCAATTTATGGTATGATGACATTTATTGAATGTCCAGGAAGCAAAATTCTTTTTTCGAGACATTTTCAAAAATTTAATGTTTTGGCCTTCAGATATATCCGAAATTTTATTCTGCTTCAATACCATCATTTTTTGCGCGTTAATGATAGGTTTTGTTAGACTAGTGTTGATTAAATTCATGGCATTAATAGAAAAATTAATGGAAATTCAAATAATTTAATTATCGTTTCAAAACACTGGCTTCCAACTAGCTTTGGTTTGCTGAATGACTTCTAGAAACGGAAGTAACTTAAAGCGACTTACCAGGCCAGCTGGCCAAAAGTATTTTGCAACCATTACTATCGGCTTATTTTTAGGGTGCTGCGGCGGCGGCGGTGGCGGCGGAGGAGGTAATTCGGTTCTTTCGCATTATCGGAGGGGGAGGGGGGATTTTTTTGTATACGTCCAGAAACGCCTAGTCCCGTAATATTAAATTTTAAAGGTTTTTTCAGCTAATTGAACTTTATTGAAAGTGGAAAACTATATCAAAAACTTTGACAATTTTTGGTCTTGTTTTGGAATTCTGGCCGATGGCCCCTCCTAATTAGTCGAAAAAAAAGAGTTTTATAGTTTTGGACATTTGCCCTATTTGGGTCTGGAAAATTGGATCCTGTAGGCTTTATAAACACACGGGAAAAAATTATTTTTTTCAGGTTGCGGCGCCTGTAGAGGAGGAGGTAAAACATTCATTTTCAACGTGAAAACCCTTCAAATCAATTTTAGCAGGATGCAGCGGCGGGTGTGGAAATGGTGGTGGAGGTAGCGAATTTTAGCTTCATTTACTAAAGTTGTTAAGGTATTGTGCAAAATAACAAAAAACCGACTATTTCGCTGCTATAAAAAATAGCTTTAAATATGCTTCTTCAGGCTATTAAAAAGCTTTAAGCATGTATCTTGGTCCTCATGTTCGGACCAGGTCTCAGAACCAATAGTATTTTTTAAACATGCTTTACAACTTTTTTAAGGTTGCGGTGGAGGAGGTGGCGGTTGTGGAGGCGGACGTGGTGGATGTGGCGGAGGAGGAGGTACGGTAATTAGTTATTTTTCACGGCTGCAAATTTTATAAAATGTTTTAAAGTTGCAAAATCGTTTATTATTGGGCCTGAAAATTTTTAATGACTTTTTTAGGCGCCTACGCTATCGCCGGCCCTGCAAACTACGCCCAGGCTCCGCAAATTGGCTATGCACAAGTGGTAGGGGTTCTCAACAGTCTTAAAGTGGATATATTCGTCACCAATCTTTTAAATACTATTAGTTCACGTCATTATAAAATTCCAAATTCGCTAAATTTGAAGTGGCGAAAACATGTTTCGTCAATATATGAAACGCCTGGTTTTTAAAACAGCTTATTCAGTTGACGGCGCTCGTTTTTCACGACATGCACAAAGTGGCGCTTATTAGAAGGCTACGGACGAAAAATCAAGCCGTATTCAAAATTAATACAAAAACAAAAGCAAATAAAAAGAAAAATCAATAAACTTCACCGAAATTTTTTACAGGCCAAGGACCTTCAAAAAGTGTTAGAATCACTTGCTCTTGTCAGCGAGAGGAAATCCAGGTTTAAAAAAGTGTTTGGAGAAGACACGAGGGGCTAGATTTCTAATTCTTATTGTTTCTTCCATTTTCTGCTCTCCGGTGCGAAAATTTAAAAAATCGTGGAATTAAGAGCAACCTTGGGAGGCACTTTGCTTGTAAATCAGACGTTCGGGCAATGAAATTTAGTTTAAACAGATATGTGATTCAGCCAAATCATTATTTCTCGATTAATCGGCACGACGTAGCAGATTCCCAGTCACGAGTTCGAAAAACACCATTTCGAAAAACACCATTTCGAAAAAATCCCCGTTTCGTAAAGACCCGGTCTTCAAACAGGTATAAAAATTGCAGTGTCCAAAAAACCACGGGCTTTCTCGGATATGACTAGTGATGTAATAGAAATTGTTTTATGTCTACAATGAAATTAATCATATGTCCAATGGAAAAATAGACCCCCGAACCTCAAACCAGCCAACGAAAATAATTTTTTTCTGCGACTGGGAAATGGGCTATTGCTAAATCCTGTGTTTCCCAAATGGTAATTTTCGAAATGGTGATTTTCGGAATCGTGACTTTTCGAAATGGTGTTTTATCGAAATGATGACTTCCGAAATGGTGTTTTTTTGCGAAATCGTGATTTTTGAAATCGTGACCGCCATTAATACAACCCTGATAGCTTTGAGAATCAATATAAATAACAGTTGTAATTATAAAAATTTGGCGCTCACCTGGCTGTCAGGATAAAATCCTTATAACCACATATTGAATGTCTTGTGTTTTAGGGTCCAAGCTATGCTCAATCGGGCCCCGCCGGCTACGCGGGGCCACCAATGACGGGCCCGATTCCACAGGCAATTCCGCAAATGAACTATCAACCACCGCCACAGTATGCTCCGGTATCGGTTGGATTTTCTAAAAGGGTTTCCGTGCTTGAGCAGTATTTGGCCCTGGTAACCTAGCAAAGGCGATTGTTGGAAGTTGACTACCTTAAGATTCGTTGGCTAATCTGAGGAGAGAGAGGGAGAGAGAGAGAGAGAGAGGGGGAGAGGGATAGGAAGAGAGGGAGAGGGAGAGAGGGAGAGAAAAAGGGCGAGTGAAAGAGAGAGAGAGAGAGAGAGAGAGAGAGGGAGAGAGAGAGAGGGGGGAGAGCTAGAGAGAGAGGGAAAGAGTGAGGGAGAGCGAGAGAGAGAGGGAAAGAGTGTGGGAGAGAGAGCGGCATCTCGCATTCCTACCCGAAAACAACTAGCAGAGACCCTTGCTGAATTTGCGAGAAATAGACAAGCTGGCAGAGAGAATTTTGGCAAAACAAGAGAAAATCAGAATTAAAGAGAGAGCAAAGGGGCAGGCTAGCGGAGAAAAATTGGGGAAACTTGGCAGGCTAGCAGAGGTTCTTTGAAATCGCCGACCGCGACGGGATGGCTAACAAAGAAACTTTGTGATGAACTTATGAGGTAGAAAGCAGCTATAATTGGCGAAAGTAGCTGGTGATAAGGCGGGCTAGCAGAGAAGATTTATGGTACGGCGTGACTAGCAAATAGTATTGTGAAAAACTTCAAAAAATATGGCATGCTAGCAGAGATCTTTTGGAAATGATCTAGGTGCAAAATCTTTTGAAAAAGCCATTTCAATTCCTTCAGAATATCCCAGCTGGCAGCTATCAAGGACCGCTCGCCAACCCGCTCCCAATCTCAGCCCCCCAACAAATCGAACCTGCCTACAATGCATTGCCAACGGCCGGAAGTGAGTCTGAAGAAAGATGTGTTTCCAAAAAATGATGCGGGGATGTGGCTGTAGTTGGGCCAGTAGTGACCAATCCGTTGAGCAGTCATGATCATTATAACTTACCTTCAACTTCAAAAGCAACTTTAACCACTTAATCCTGATGCTATTTTAGGTAGCAAAAAGCTCCTTTTGATTCAAAATTAGGGATTCAGGTTTTTAATTGTATGTAAGTACAAAACTTTGATAGTTTTAATGAACAAAAAAATTAGATTGCAATTCGAAAAATCATATCAAACGTTTTAGAGCTTTACTTGGTGTAATTACCCTTAAATTTGAAGTATTATCACTATCAGATCTGAGGTATATTATTAAGGGCTCGATCGCAATTTTATCCGGTTAAGAATTAGGAAAAATTTCGGTTCGGCGAACTGTGTACACTGAAAACAAAATTTCTCCGTATTACGACCTTTCGTTGTTATCGTTGTCGACCTTCGGATCAATTTTTCTGGAGAATCCATAACCAGCAATACACATATCCATGCCTTCTCTGTACCTTTAAAATCGCCGTCATCTCAAACTCAACGTTTTCGACCACGAATTTGACAGTTATTACTGAAATATTCGACCACGGGCACTTTTTCCACTGTGAAAAATACCTTTTGAACTTTCTTTATTTCAACGCAACACTTAGGCCTGATTTTAATCTCGCATTTTTTAAGTGTCAGTCACTTAAATTAAATCAAATGAACAACAATATAGCATTACAAAAATCATGTTAAGGCTACAAGGATGTGGCGGTGGATTCGGACCCGAACTCCTCGGCGCCCAACGATATTGCGGCAGCTGTCGAGGCGGCTGATATTGTAAGTTTTTTAATCTGTTATTTCTTTCGATTTGTGGTGAATTAAATAAGAAAAAACCAAAATCGATAGCTACGTTTACTTATCACGCTATCAAATACTTGAATTGTGCTTAATTTGAGTGCCTGTTACAGACAGGTTTGGTAATAGATCGAATGTTTCGAAGAATTTCAAAACTCCTCTTCTTGCCATAAATTTAATAAACGTCGCTTTGAATTTTGAAGTCTTCGATTTCAATTCAGTTTTATTAAAACCATGAATTGAATCAGCCATGAATTAACATGCAGATATTTTTATCAAATTAAAATTCGAAGTTATAAAAAAGGATAACTTGCCATTTTTCCGTTAATTTTCGTGTTTTTCAAACAATTTTTAATGTAATGATGTTTCAAATAACTTCTAAAGGTGCGTTCCAGATTCAATTTTAATAAATAATTGGCTCTTGTGTCAAATCAGTTGCAATAAGCCAGGACTAAATTAGAATGATCCGTATTTTTTTCAGTTAAATTTCTATGTTTTAAAATCTTGAGTACCATTCTGTTTTACTCGACTTTTAGAGTTTTCAAATATTTTTGTAGTGCATCGAATGTTTCAAAGAAAGCTCAAAATTTTTATTTCTGACCAAATTTTAATCGGGCAATTGTTCTCGCAATATAAACTTTTATTGTATCCTAAGTTGATACTCTTTTTAAAGTGCAACGGCTATACAACGGCGGGAAAATGGTGTTTTCTTTTAACTTCATCGCCGCTTCTAAATGAGGCTTTCAATGATATAAATGTTTCAAAGAATTCCAAAATTTCCCGCCTGGACCTGATGTTAATCCAGAACAGTTTTTATTGTATTTTGTATTATTTTATCGATCATGCTTCGTTAAGCCTTAGATTAATTACCCTAATTTACGCGAATTTAATTAATATAATTTCATACATCCAAATTTTTAAATATAAAATTGTGAAGTTAAAATTAAATTTAAATTTAATACCGAATTTAAAAAATTTCTCCAGGCGGACGAGCCGCAACGCGACGATCCAAATTCCTGTAAGCCGACGATAAAATATGTACTGCTGCGCGAAGCGGGCAATGGCAGAATGGAGGAGGTCGAGCTCGAGCAGGTGGGTATTAAAACAGCACCGCGCTAAGATATACTGTAAGAAAACATATTTCAATCAAAGCCTGAAATTTTGAAACACTTGGAAGAAAATTTCCACGCACTAACCCTAATCAACGTATCCCTCCTTTTACTAGTTTTGAAACTTATTTTCAAACCTTATTACTGTATTAATTTTTAATTTTATTGGCACAGGAAAACTATAAAATCGATAAACTTACCACTAGATATACTAAATACGTATTGAATTGAAGTCTTTAAGCGCGAGTAAAGTTTTTGTCTATGGATTGTGATCAGTATCACGCGCCATGACACGCAACGCGCAGGCTGACCCTCTTATTGTGTAGTTCATTACGAGGAAATTTTGGTAGCCATAAAACAATGTCTTACTTAATTTGCTTAAGAAATGTCATTTTTCATCTTTTTATCACCGGCTTTTCGGACCCTTATCCAAAAGTTATGCCAGCCGTTACCCGGGGCATTTAGTAAAGCTCGAGCTCAGGGAGCCCAGGGAGCCCAGGACGGTTTTGCAATATAAGGTTATAAAAGTCGTAATTCGTATTAAATCTTGTAGTAATGCACTAATACTAGTATAATAGTCCAAAATTAATGCCAATGATACTTTAATATACCTTCGGAAGCTCCCTGAGCTCCTTCGGCTCCCGGCTCCCTGGGCTCCCTGGGCTCGAGCTTTACAAACTGCCCTTACCCGGAAAAAGTAAAAAAAAAATTTTGAGAAAACCTCGAAAGATTAGAGAACAACGAGCCGAAAAAAAGTTAAAACAACATCTGAACGGACTTAATAACTTAATAATTGGATTACAGGAGCGAGTTCCCATCACAGTCATATGAAACATGTTATTACAAACTCTTATTTTCTATTTCTAGGGAAGCGTCCCCGAACTGCCCCCGGGCCACGAGGACGCCAAAATGCACCCAGAGATGGGCATGGTGGGCTTTTAAGAGAATAGTGTTATTTTTCTAATATTTTATGAAAAGTCAAGATAGTATTGAAGTTATCTATCATCCACACTCCCCGAAAAAAATGGGTTTCAAAGAAGTGGTGTTTTAAAACGAGTGATAACTTAAGTTTAATCTTGCTAATTTGCCGTTTGATAATTGGAGGTAGTGCATAAATAATCGAGCAAGCGATTAAGGTATAAAAATAGGGTACAACGCTCCGGATCCTTTGAATTAAAAAACGATTGGGAAAAGATATACTGCCAGTTTAAATTAATTAATCCTAGGCGAAAAAGTTGATAATTTTTTCTGAAACTCGAAGTTTCTAGAAAAAATTTTGTAAACCTAAAGCAGCTTTTTTGAATGTTTTGGTCAACGTCCGCTTGCTTAGCGTATAATTTTGGGGAATCGTTTGCCTGTTTTAATGTTCAGATTACTCTAGAAAGCAATTATAGCCAAACTTATATAATTTTAATTGCAGGACCGCGGCGCTCGGATCCAGGGGAAACGGCGGGGCGACGAGGATATTGGTTGGAATTTACTCTATCTACACCTTCATTAGTTTATATAATTCCTCATAATATAAAACCGTGATTTATATATAGATCGAAGTGATGTCCAATCATCATAATAGCTAAAAAAATCGATCCTTATATGAATTTCCAGATGAAACACCAATGCTCAAAGGGTCGAAACTGTTCATAAATGAGGGGAAATGCAACAGCAAACAATTGGAGAAGCTGATTATGCAGGTATATACAACTAACATCAACATATCGAATCCAACGGTGCCTTGCGAACCTATTACCTCGTTGAAACATATACAGGGTGTCCCAATAAAAAAAGGTCACGCTGGCATTTTGCTATTTCAAATCCGACCGACTTGAAATTTTGCACAGAGGTGCGGAAGGGAATTTAAAATGTTCACAGAAACTTTCAGCCCGATCAGTTCAGTAGTTTTCGAGTTATTGTAAAAATACTGTTTTTCCCATAATTTAGCTTCATTTTTTCGGCTATCTTTTTGGACTTTGCATCAATTAACATAAAATTCCGGCTCTAAATCCCTTATTCTTCTTAACAACGGCGTCGTTAACCCTTGTTAAAAAATACTTAACTAGCCTATTTTCGACCGGAATTTTGTGAAATAAAAAAATTCCTAGGATAAAAAAGGGTCGGCGCTTCATTTTCTCCATACATTCCAGGGCTCAATTCCGGCGGAATCCAGGTGAAAAACGTAAAATAAAGTTTATTTTTACAATGACTCGAAAACTACTGTACTGATCGGGCTGAAAGTTTCTGTGAACATTTTAAATTCCCTTCCGCACCTCTGTGCAAAATTTCAAGTCGGTCGGATTTGAAATAGCAAAATGCCAGCGTGACCTTTTTTTTATTGGGACACCCTGTATATCCCATTTCCCTAGTGGTCCGCTGTCGCGTCCGATTTTTACGAATTATGGATCTATCGACAGCTCTCGGAAAGACGCGTCCAGCTCATATTCCCGTTTTTCGAAATTTCGAGATTTTTTGTTCGTTTTCGGCATTCTCCACCCAAAGGCGACATGCTTTTTGTGAAAAAGACAATTTAACTGGTTTAAGCGCCATCCAAGCTGTGTTTTCTCAAATGGCTTTCAAAACACGGTCGTAGGGCACGGCCTAAAAATTTATAAATCGAGATTTTTTTTATCAAGACACTTTGCGCCGAAAAGCATCAGAAAATCAGAAGAGAAAATCGCCATTACCCAAAAATATAAGTGAATGTAAGAAAAATTCCGGAATTTCCAAAATCGGTGATGCGTGCTGGGCTCGCCTGCTTTAGAGCGTTAGTTATTGTCAAACTCAAACTTAGTTTATAGATATTTTTTTTGTCTTTTTTAGTCATTAAAATTTCTATATGCTTTTACGTTGAGGGTAAGAATAAGTTTAGAAACGCTTACCCTCTATAATCTAGAAAAATTGATCGTAAAAAATGTCGTTACATGCCTTGTACCATGGTTTTATATGAAAAACTAATCACTTTTTCGAATATCACCCGACTACCGCTTGGGAAAAAAATTAAAAAAAAACTCCCACGAAAAGATGAAACTCACTGTAACCCGCTTTTGGTCGAAGTCTTGTGCAGAATTTTTTGCTGATTCCGAATCCGTTTTCAAAAGTTGCGGAACCCCTCTGATTAAAAAGTCAAGCGTTTTTAATACCCAAAATGCCACAAATCGCTTACTTTAAAACATTCTAAAAATTCCGTAAAATACTTTTGGTAGTTAGTTTAGTTTTTTTTGGCAGACCCTTGCCCAAGATGGTCAATTTTCGAAATTTTCGAAATTTCGAGCTACGGGTTTGTGAGATAGCCCATTCGAAAGAGCACGTTTTGTTACCCCGGAAAATGTCTTACCCTCCCCCGAAAAGTATTTTACGGAATTTTTAGAACGTTTTAAAGTAAGCGATTTGTGGCATTTTGGGTATTAAAAACGCTTGTAACTTTTTAATCTGAGGGGTTCCGCAACTTTTGAAAACGGATTCGGAATCAGCAAAAAATTCTGCACAAGAAGTGCTATCTCACGTACGGAATTTCCACTTCGACTAAAAGAGGGTTACAGTCAGAAATGTGATGAACCGGCTTATTAGTGTTTCAGCAGGCCTCACTATCCGTAAAATTGATGAAACACACAGAAACACAGAAAAATGCATTGACTTCCAAACCCCTTTAAATTCGCGTTTTGTAGAATATCGTCTCCAACGATGCGTTAGCGTCAAAACGGGCAATTCACGAAGCATCACTCGCTATGAAGCCAGCCGCGGGGGTTGATGTGATTTGTTCGGAAACAGGTATTCTTAAAATGTTTTATCGCATTTTTATAGTTGCTTATCCTCCTAAGGGAGGCGTTATAAATTTAGCTATTTCATATCCTGCGACGCGCTGAAAACCCTGGCTCTAAAATTCAAGCTTTGGAATTTTCCTGCTAATGAGTATGATGAAAACGTGGTAGTTTATTGTTCTCCTGACCGAGAGGAACATTTTGGTATACTTTACGTCACTGCAGCTCAAATGGCAGCGAAAATACAAAATGTCAAAGTTGAGCTGGTTTACCAGCTCCAAATCTATGGCTAGCAGAGATACCTGGGGAATCCTGAACCAAAACTAGGTTCTGATGCGTTAGCGGGGGGGGAGGAGTATTGGTGGAAACCCTCAATACCCCCCGCTAATAAACCAGAACCCAAAAATATCGAAAATATTGCTTCCAGGCTTCACCTACCTCGTATCCACCGTGGAGCACTGTGAAGCCCAAAAGAACAACGTCATCTGCTTCGTCTACAAAAGGCCGCTGTGACTTCGAGAAAAGTTTTAACCCTAATAAGAACATTGATAATAATTATGACAAAAACGATAAAAATGAACAGATAAAATAAAACAACAAATAAAAACAAACAACAACAAATAACAGATAAAAAACGAATCAGAAAAAAATTCTCTACAAGATAGGCTATTAAAAATCGACTGCCCTATTAAAATAAAAAAGTTGGGCCTCGTGACAGATGACTTCCCGCGGGAACAAATATGACCTTAAAATCGCTATAACTTTTTAAATTGAGCTATTTAGCAAAAATTGAAAGCGGGTTCGGAATCAGCAAAAACATCTACACAAAATAGGCTGGGTCCCATAACGAAACGCCACCTTGTGAGCCGTCGGCGTCTGGCCATAGTCCGGCCTGTCGCTCCGTTATTGCACCATTTTGGCTGGATAATCGTATTCCGTATCAGCGCTGTCATAGGCCATCTAGCGATATGGATTTGTCGGCTCGGTTCTACCCCCAGGCCCCTCCAGATACGCAGATGGGCGTTTATCGCGTGATCGACGATTAATTTGGTCATTATCGTCCGCGAGGTCCAATCAGAATGCCTTCATCCATTTTTTAATGATCCCCCCCTCTTGCATCCAACCCAACGGAAATCTCAAAATAATCCGAAACAATTTACAGAGTGAAATCCGGGGCTGAATGGGGCGAAAAGAGCGTGTTCCTCGCCGTTCTCAACCCAAATCGCCGTTGCCGTTCCTGTCATTCCGCCACGAACTACAACAAGCTGTCTACGGACATCTCGGCTTTTGGGAGAAACACCGTCTTCGAGCCACCACCAAACAGGTACGCATCGCAGATAATGCTTTGCAAAAAAGGAACAGGATTAGGCAGTCAACGTCAACTCGATTTCCATTTTGTTTGAAGGGGATCTTGTTCAGATCGAGTCAAACAATTAATGAAATGAGTTAACTCGGTGCCGAGTTGTTGCTTAACCTCTGAATTGTTGGGCGAAAGTTGCGAAGATAATTTACAAGAGGAAAATTTAGGAAAATCCGGATTCAAAGTTGAAAACGCATGGATTTTCGTTCTTTCTCCTTCATTTCACTTGGCAAATTATCATCTTCACAACTTTCGACAAACAATTTCGAGTTAAAACCACTACCCGTCACCGAGTTAAATAGCGTCAAAAATTGTTTGACTCGATCTGAACAAGATCCCCTTCAAACAAAATGGAAATCGAGTTGACGTTGACTGCCTAATTTGCTGGCCGCTAAATTGTTTGCTGGTAACTGAGTAAAAAACTCACAAACAACCGCACCTCAAGCAGTTGCTTGCGCGGCATTTTCATGCAAAGAAATTTGCCTCCTAGCCAGACATGGCAACGGGCCCGGCCGCGGGGCTTTTTCGGCCCCAAAAAATTTGCATGCGGCCGGGCCGACGGGGCTCGGCCCCACTTCCGGTGGGGCCGGGGCTCGGCTTTGCTCGACGGCCCCGGGATAAGCCAAAATGGGGGCCGAGTCCGGGGCCGCAAGGCCGCACGCTAATCAGAAATCCCAGTTGTAAATCCCCTTCAGTCAAAATATTCATGCAAATTGGAAAAAATGATTTTTTCAAAGGTTGCCATACATCTCCATGTCTATTGCAGCCAGATCATAACGGGTTAGACCTGTATTTTAGTACTTTTTGATAGTTGGGACGACTTATTAACCAAGTTCAATGAACTTTACCGATACCGATGTCCTAACTGCACCAACGCACATAAAATTCGGATTGCAAATTTGCATTTTAGCATCGGAATTTAGACGCAAATGAGCTACTTTAGTTTCCGGGGCCGAGCCGAATCGGCCGAGCCCGGCCCCGGAAAAATTCGGCCGGGCCCGGGCTCGGCCCCGCGAATTTGCATATTTTTCCGGGGCCCGGAAGCGGGTGTTTTTTTCATGTTAATTAGATTCCAGGCCCGGCCCCGGGGCTCGGCCGCCCGGAATTGCCATGTCTGCTCCCTAGCCAATTCCTATAACAACCCTTTGGTACAATACAATATGATAAGTTGCAGTTAGCGTCGTCCCAACTGGGTGGAAAACAGAAATACTGGCCAGCGCACAAATGTGTCGATGATATCGTCATTGTTGCACACCGCCAGGTATCCTCATGATATAAAGGGTGGGCCAAAAATATCAAAAATCGAAAATATCCTACTATATAAAAAAAGTAGTGTCTCTGTATGTGCATTTGCATGCAACTTCCGTCACCGTGTCCGGAGGATACCCTAACAGAGGAAGGGTTTTAGGTTACGCATGATACGCATTAGGTGCGTAATGGCCTCGAGATGAAGCATATCAGCTTTTGAAATTACGAAAACAGCCCCCTTGGTTATCCGCTGTGGTGCCCATAGCTATCAACCAAAATTGATATGCTAAATGCATTTTTCGTGCTGAAAATAATTCTCTGAGGATATTTGTCGACGCCTTATCGAGTCGCACTTGCGAAATCCCACGGCAATTAAAAAGATTAAAAATAATGAGCAAGTTTTTTTTGGTAGATCTTTGATGGTCAGTATTAGCTTGAACTGGGGGTTTTTCCCGTTGACAACAACCCCACGTTCGTCCGTTACAGATGATTGGCTTTTCGTGCCGGACGCACTGTGGAGAAGTGGAAGTTGAATGGAAGGCCGACAGTTCGACGCTACTTTTATTCTACAATACAATTCGAGGTGTTGGGTGGGGAGGAAAGAAAATACGATGGACATTCGATGAACAAAACGAAGATGCAAGGTTGGTTGAAGAGTCGATTTTTTTGAATGGGGAGTAACGACAATTATAATCATAGGGCTCGACATACTGCAATCAAATATTTGCTTCGATTCGATGGGAAATCAGCATCGGAGAACGCTTTGAAGTTGATGAATGAATTATGTTGTGGAGTGATATCGGTGGCTGTTGGATTGTACGTAGTGCCGGAGACGTTTGCTGGGGTAAGTTGATTCGATAGCAGGAGGCGAAACGAGAGAGAGAGAGAGAGAGAGAGAGAGAGCCAGAGAGAGCGAGAGAGACACCAATTAACCAGTGCTAAGCGTTTGCAGGAGCCATCATTCCCACTAAAACGTCTCCGTCTTCTCGAAAACAACACCTATTGCTGCCTCATCAGAATGTGTCCTGTGGATGGAAAGATACAACTAGACTGGTTGAAAAGAAACCACTACTCCACCGAGGCGTTGGTTTGTGGCTTGGCTGGCTTTCCTATTGACGGCGGCGAACTTGCGGCGGCTAGCCGACCAAGTCGCGGCAGGGCCAGGCAAGACATTTGCGGCCCCGACCATTGCGGCCCAAAGCTGTAGTTAATCACACAACTGGTTTAGCCGTCCGGAAGGCTAGTTTTCCGAACGGGTTTGATCGCTTATCCCAGGGTCTTGACCTAAAAATAAGGCTTCGTTCCACCCGGGGCCTAGTCGCTTCGGATGGGCGCGAGCCCGTATAGGGTTTCGAAATCGGGGCGCCCGAGGCGCGCGTGGCGGCCAGGCGCCCCGATTTTCGCGATATTCCGGGATATTCCGCTCTCGTTGAGATCTTATGTTGGTCAACACTTTAGCACGCAAGGTTACGCAAACCGAACCCAGACCACCTGGCCTGGGACAAGCGCCATAGACCACTCGGCTATAGGAGGGACGGGAAGGTGAGAGGGGCGAGGGGTTATGAAGGGTGTCTGCGGCCGGCCGCCAGAGTGCCAAATTCCCGGTTTAAAGGGATGCCGACGGCATAGTGAATCGGTTACGCGCGGAAAATAAAATGTCTCTGCGCCTCTCCCCTAGGCGCGCTCTCTCCCCCTGTTGGCTACTTGCCATTTGTTGATGAGGGGGGGATCGACACATGCCGTCGGCCCTTTAAATTCCAGGGATTTAGAACGAGAGCGGAATGTACCTTTAATAGGACGGGCGCAAATGGTCGGCCCCCAAATGTCGGGGAGCCCGCAGCAGTACAGGGTGGCCAGAAAAAAAAGTGCCTGGTTTGCATTGAAATATCTCGCTAGGGGAACCGAATCGAACCATCGTTACCTTGCCAGAATGCTTAAATATGCTGGGTATGAAAAATAAACACAAGTTGTTTTTTATGATTTTTGACGACCAGTGGGTCGTTAAAAAGTTTTGAACATTTTTGAAAAAGTAGAAAACTTTGATGCGACAAAGTATGGAACTTTTTATGAGTTAGGGGACATATTGGGTATTAAAAATGAAGCTCTTGGAATGCGCTATCAAACCAGTCGTAAAGAATATTGATCGGTTTAACTAGCCGCCAATAGGAGCATTCGGAAAATCCCGACCCGATTCCGAATTGGCCATAAAAAGCCCAGTGTCGGTATAACTTTGTATACTTGTTACATGCAATCCTGTTTGCCAAAGATAACCATGTTATAATTTTAACTTAAGGAGCGTAGAACTCACAAATTCCGTCCACTTGGCAAAGTGCCAAAAAATTTTTTGATCGGGATTTTCAAAATCCTGAGGCCAAAAGTTAGTAGTTAGCTATCTATTGCTGAATCCAAAATATCAGCAAGGCCGGATGGTAAAGAAATTTTAACTCGAATTATTCCTTCAAAAAGTCCCGATTTTCCGAACGCTCCTATTGACGGCTAGTTAAACCGATAGATAATCTTTACCACTGATTTGATAGCGCATTCCAAGACCTTCATTTTGATACCCAATATGTCCCCCTAGCTCATCAAAAGTTCCATGATTTTCCTCTTCAAAGTTTTCTATTTTTTCAAAAATGTTTAAAAATTCTTGACGAGTAGTGGGTCGTCAAAAATCATAAAAAACAACTTGTGTTTATTTTTCATACCCAGCATATTTAAGCATTCTGGCAAGGTAACGATGGTTCGATTCGGTTCCCCTAGCGAGATATTTCAGTGCAAACCAGGTACTTTTTTTTCTGGCCACCCTGTACTGGCTATCCCTCCGGCCGCCGGTCCTTCGCCGCTCTTTCGCCGACACACGCCGGCGAAATCGCGGCGAAATCCGGGCGTCGGGCGCAAAGGG